TGCTTTGAAGGGGGTCTTCTGAAAGAGATTTCTGTGGTTATAGATATTACCACGGTCGAAAAATGATGCCATTAGAAACAAGTGTATGGCAATTCAGGTTCCCGAAGAGGTTTTTTTTTTTGGATATGCCCTTTTTGATGGTATTATATTAGTTTTCTTGAATTGTTTTCTTAATGGGCTTATGTTGTATTTCCTCACTGCCTTAGTTGTGAAAACATCATTTTTGTTGCTTATAGGTTGGTTTTAAATGAAGTGAACACAGAAGTTACATTTTTCTGTTAAGTATTCATTTTTCCTAATTGCCTGATTTGTGGCACAGAGATGGGGCTGATAAAACTAAGAAATACGGATAGATCCGTCTTTCCATAGTAGAATTGACGGTGGGCTATAGAATTCATTTCCAGAGAATCTGTCTCTGTAGTTCTACAGAAGTAACTTAGGCTCGTCCCACCTTCTGTTTCTCACCAAGCATCTCAGAGATGCAGAGAGAAACTGGTGTGTCCGATGGCTGAGGTAGGCTTGGGCGGGATTCTGAAGAGGATCAACATTGTGTTTAGGGGCCTTTCGTCTCTCTCTGTATTTTCTCCCATGTTCACTTTTCTCTCCCCTTTCCCAGTAATAACAGTCTGGATGTGAGGTCACACTGATTGGCTGAATAACTTTAAGTAAATTATAACTTGAGAAAAAATATAATAGATTTAGCTCTCTAAATGAAATTTAAATCATATACAAATTGGTAAAAATGTGAGTATTATATTTACTTCACAGTTTCAATTTACCACCATAGAAAATCTTATTTTATAACTTAAATATTTTTGGTATTTTTACATCTTTGGGAAAGTGTGAGGTGGTGGGAATGACAATGACTTATAAGTAGCTTGTGTATTTGATCAGGCTTTTAAACTTTTCAATCTATACCCTTACTTATTTTACCTACCTCATATGGTAAATAAAACAATATTAATATGTACTTAGCACTGAGTTTAGCATATGTTAGTCACTTAAAAGTAACTTCTTACTTATAATGCAAATTAGTATGGTTGGTGGTTTGTTGAGAATATTGAATGTGGCCTCATTTAAGTGGAGATACCCTGATAAAAGGGCTTGATTAAGTATTCAAATTCCAGGTCAAGGAAGTTGTATTTGAAAGCTAATGGGCAGCTGATAACTAGTTTAAATACAACATTTATTGAGATATTATATATGTGATATGGTCTGAGGTACTGGTAAGAGTAAGATGGTTCTAACAGAAAAATGAAATAGTGGTTTTTGATAATATGGCACAGCATTTAGGGTACATATGAGAAGCAAGAGAGTAGAAATAAGACAAGCAGGAAGATTGTTGTAATAATCTGTGTGAGGTGACGTGGTTTTGTACTGATTGATAAAAATGGTAAGAAAAGCAGGAAGTGATGAAGCCCAGGGATGTGCAGGAAATGTTAACAAGTGGTGGTGACTGGGTGGGTATATAAAGAGGGTGGGCGGGTATATAAAGAGGGTGGGCTGAGTTGCAGAGATGATGTTAAAGAGTATTCCATGGTGTCAAGTCTGGGAGTCCTGAAAAATAATGGTAGTGCAAGTAATGTGGTGGATAGTTGGATAGTTGGGAGTTCTGTCTTCTGTACTCTACCCTTTCTTTCTCTTCTTCTTTTCTTACTGGGAGGAATAGAGGAAGAATAAAAGACCAAGTATGGGGGCAGTTAATTATAGCATATGCTACCTGAAATGATTAATAGGCATTAAAAGAACAGGGATCTGACCACTGAAATATTTAGAAAGGACGTGCTAGTTCAAACTGATAGCCACTGATGGAGGAAGTGAAGAGATAAATCCTTTTCCTGTGCTATATTTCAGTCCAACAAGTATTGTAAAAGGTATTGCAGAAGATATGCCAATTAGAGAATTTGTTCTGTACTCAAGGATAATAAAGAATATATAAATCTGGGTTTAGATATGCTCAGGAGCCAAGCAAAAGATAAAGCAGGTCACATACTGTACACAAGGCAATATTTTGGGTACTTATAGAGAGGGGCAATGTACTTTTGGGGCTTGAGAGAGAAACAAATATCAGGTTTGAGGAACTAGGAAAGGCTTTGTCATGAGTTAACTTTTTAAATTGTAGGAGGTGATCTACTTAGGGAGAGGTGGTGATAAAGCACTCTAAACGGGTGAGATGCTATCAGAGGTATTGGGAAGATAAAACATGGAGAGTGCTGGGTATGTGCGAGGGGTGGTAAAGGGACCTTACTAGTAGGATAAATTGGGGTCTAAGAGGGCTTTAAATGTCAATGACAAAATGTGTCTTTAATAATAATGATGGTAGTAATAGCTAGCGCTTATTGTTAAATCCATGTCAGGCCCTGAGTTAGGTTCAGGACATATATTATCTAGAATCTCTATGGTAATTTCCTTGATAGATGCCTCCCCCAGTTTATAGATGGAAAAAGACCAAAGCCTAGAGAGACTATTTAATTTGGGCAGCCTCGTACAGCTATTAAATGGGAGAGATAAATACTAGTTCTATGTGATTCCTAAAATAATGGCAGGACCTGCTTATTCTGTCATTGGGATTATTGCTTGTTAATCAGAAAGTTAGTTAATGCTGAGGTTCATAAAATGATACCTACATATTTTAAATATTTTTAATATAAAGCAATTATATATACATTTATTCATTACTATTTTGGGTTAATACGGCTTCTTTGAGTAGGAATCTATTGATCAGCTTTCCAAGAACCTTAGGCTAGTTTAAAAGCTACCGCGATACAGACTCTGTCTAGAGCAGTGCTTCTCCAGATGTGGTCCTGGGACAGCAGCATCAGCATCCCCGCCCTGGGAACTGGTTAGAAATGTCAGTTCTCGGGCCCCACTGTGTACCTACAGAATCCAAGCTCTGAGAGTGGGGCCCAGCAAGGCCTTTAGGTGGTTCTAATTGATGTTATAGTTGGAGAACTACCGATTTATAGGAGGGCTCTTGCTATTGTTCAGCTGAAAGTTATGAGATAGGAACATTAACCTAGTGGCAGTGGGAAGGGAAAGAGAAGTTGGAGAGGAGAAATTTATAAACTAGAAGAGAAACAGAATCAGAAATGGACATCACATGGAGGGATTTCAGTGGGAGAGGGGGAGGGAGGGGAAAAGGTACAGGGAAGAAGCAGCATAATTAATAGGCATAAAAGATGGGGAGAGATTAAAAATGGTATAGGAAACAGAGAACTCAAAGAACTTATATACAACCCATGGACATGGACTAAGGGGGGTGGAATGCTGGAGGGTGGGGGGACAACGCAGAGGGGGGTAAAAGGGGAACATTAGAAAACTGTAATAGCATAATCACTAAAAATACTTAAAGAATTATAGCTAACTAATTAGAAAGGAGCTGTAATGGAGAAGATTGTTGTTAAAGCTGTTTGAGGCTATACACAGGTATCTGGTGGAAGGATGGTACTGACAGCAAAGATAAATGTTAGAAAAAAGAGGTGGCTTATGAGAGGAGGGTGGGGTGATAGATTTGGTGTGCTGACTGATGTGATCAAATAACATAAAGCCTTGTCCAGTGTGAACAGGTCTGGCATTCTGGAGGGACATATTGGCTGAAGAGAGAGCTAAAGAATTCACTTGTTTATAATGAATCTGAAGTTGGAACTGTGGGAGAGGAGAATACGTTTGGTCAACTCCCTTTAAGAAAAAATCTGGTGGTTTATAATGTCAAAGTCTAAGTTTTTGTCTACCACCTCCTTAATTTAAAATACTGGGATAAAGTAGATTGGATCATTGCCAAGTTACAGATGAAAAAAACTGAGACTTTCCCGGGCCATACCACTAGAATGGTAAAGCTGGAGCCGGCCCTCAGGGCTTTTTGATTCTCAGCTTGTGCTTTTGCTATAATCTCACGTGGCTTCATGTCAAATATTTCTACTTGACCTTTGAGGTCTGCACTGTCTTTGGCAGGTCTGAGAAACTGCTGAACAGCCATGGGCATTCCAGGAAGCAGTGATGTGTTCAGAGCCAAGGGGAAATGGGCAGGGCAGGAAATCTCACTCAAAAACAGTTAAAATGGAAAAGGAAATCCTTTGGCTACCTGGGTAAGGTGGCTGTTCTTTAGAACACATTCAGTACTTTAATAAATATTGTACTGAAGACTATATGCTGCATACCATGGTGATTTATTATTATTGGAAGAAAATTAGGCTCTCCTCGATCTCCTGTCCTGCGCACATGCAAGGCTCTTATCCTGAGGTATATTCAGACTGAAGGTCTTGAATATAGTGGCATTTACAAAATGGACCATCCGAAATTATCTTTGTCATTTGAGAGACCACAAAAACTCTCACTCTTCTAAATCATAATATTATTTATAATCATCGCTCTTTATTTTCCATAATCATGTTTCATGAAATAATTATCCACTTTTATAACTCTTAATCTCTCATATTTGCTGTATTGTCTGAGTTTATAAATTAATTTTCATGTTAGCAGGAACCTAATAGTATGAAGGAAAATGTACAGTGTATGAATTGTCTGAGATACTCCTCTCTACAAATATAGAAAAGAGCTGATTAGGTGGAATTTAGGTCAGTTACCACTTTCCAAATGTACAAAAATACCTATTGATTGGAGCTTAACCTTTTCTTGTTTATTTTGTCACAATAGCTGTTATTCTAGCCTGGCTTTCCTCATTAGACTGCACAATCAGAAACACCTTTAACGACTGCTTTCCCTTTCCTTTAATGTGCACTACACACTGGAGATGGGAGCATTAAAAAGTGTGGGAAGACCCCGGACCCATTACAGTCTGGGTTGGTCCTGAGATTGCTGCTCCCTCCCCTCCCCCTCCCACTGCATATTGTTAAGTGATTTGGGATGAATAACTAATTTAATTCTACTTTAAGGTAAGAAATTGGAACATGTTACAGATCACTCTGTGGTAACACTTTTTCTGGATGTGGTCGATGAGTTCGTGGTATTTACTGCATTTACTTTTAAAATATTTGTTTTAGCTATGAATTTGTGAAATACCTAAGACAGCATATATGCAACACTTTGGGGTCTATGATTGAAGAAGAAATGGAAAAATGGACATCTGATCAGAATCAGAGTGAGGAATCTGGCTACGACACAGTTGTGCAGCATGTCACCAAAAGAACTCAGGAATCTAAAGAGTGAGTATGCCCTCAGTAATATTTTTAAGTAATTTTTCTCCTAACACGGCTCCTTGCAGCACCCCTAACTCACACCCCCACAGTCTGTTTTCCTCACAGCAGCCACAGTGATCCTTTGAAACTGAGTCAGATTGTGCCACGGCACTTCCAACACGACACTTTCCAAAGACTTCTCATCTCATTCATAGTAAGATCCAGATTCTTCTGTAGACAAAAGGCCCACCATGAGCCTTCTGTTCTCTCTGCTACCTCATTTCTTATCATATCCCTTTTGACGTTGCTTCATCCACACCAGTCTTGTTCTTTCTCAAACAAGCCAAGGGATTTGTTAATTGCTTCTAGTTATTTGTGTGACTTCCTCCTTCATTTTTCTTAAATAGACACTCCTTTTTAGAGTAGCTTTAGGTTCACAGAAAAGTTGAACAGAAGGTACATATTTCTTTCTCACACACCACTGCTCTTCTGGATGCACAGACTTACCCATTGTCAACATTGCCCACCAGAGAGGTACATTTGTTTCAATTGAGGAACCTACATCCATGCATCATTGTTACCCAGAGGTTGTCATTTACACGAGTGCTTTCTCTTGGTGGTGTGCATTCACTGGGATTTGGACAGATTTATAATGCCATGTATTTATTGTTATTGTATATTAGAGAGTAGTTTCATTGCCCTAAAAATCTTCTGTGCTCTGTCTATTCACCCTGTCTCCTCCCAACCTTTGGAAGTCACTGATCTTTTTTTATTGTCACCATTGTTTTGCTGTTTCCTTTTCCACAGTGTTATACAGCTGAAACCATACAGTATTTCGCCTTTCAGTTTGGGTTCTTTCACTTAATATTATACATTTACCTTTCCTCCATGTTTTTTTATGGCTTGATAGCTCATTTCTTTTTAGCACTAATAGTCCATTGTCTGTGTGGACCAGGCTTCCTGGATGCTTTTAAGCTTTGGCAATTATCAATAAAACTGCTATGAACATTGCAAGCAGGTTTTTATGTACACATATATTTTCAACTCCTTTGGAGAAATACCAAGGAGAGTGATTGCTGGGTCATATGGTAAGAGTATGTTAAGTTTTGTAAGAAACTACCAGTTGTTTTCCAAAGTATCTGTACAATTTTGCATTTTCACAAGTACTATGTGAAAGTTCTTCCTTTATAGGTAGAATAAAAATGTCCTATATTGGCCCTGGCTGGTGTGGCTCTGGATTGAGTGCCAGCCTGCAAACCAAAGGGTCACCAGTTCTATTCCTGGTCAGGGCACATGCCTGGGTTGAGGGCCAGGTCCCCAGTTGGGGGTGTGCGAGAGGCAGCCACACATCGATGTTTCTCTCTCCTTTTCTCCCCCACTTCCCCTCTCTCTAAAAATAAATAAATAAAATATTTTAAAAAGTCCTATATTGTATCTAGTTTGGATAGTTGATAAATGTGAATATGTTATGTACATGTGTTGACAACTTAGAAATGATTTGATATACTCTGTGTAGAAAAAATTAAAAGAAAAGCTCTGAATAAAAAGGTTTAATATATATGTTATGTGTATTACTCATAAAAACAAACTAATTAGGTAACCTGTATTTTCTTTTTTCTTCACCAGTCACTGAATTTTTTTTAATTTAAATTTTTCAAATTTAATTATTGTTCAAGTACAGTTTTCTGTCTTTTACTCCCATCCCAGCCCACCCCCCCCCCCCCCAGTGTTCCCCACTCCCATTTCCACTCCCCTTAGTTGTAGTCCATGTGTCCTTTATACTTGTTCCTGTGAATCCTTCCCCTTTTCCCCTGACATTCCCTCCCCTCTCCCCTCCGGTCGCTGTCAGCCTGTTCTCTATTTCAGTGTCTTTGGTTATATTTTGCACACTTGTTTGTTTTGTTGTTTAGCTTCCTGTTAAAGGTGAGATCATATGGTATTTGTCTTTTACTGCCCGGCTTATTTCACTCAGCATGATGCTTTCCAGTTCCATTCGTTCTGTTGCAAAGGGTAGGAGCTCCTTCTTTCTTTCTGCTGCATAGAATTCCATTGCGTAAATGTACCATAGATTTTGGATCCATTCATTTACTGCTGGGCACCTAGGTTGCTTCCAACTCTTGGCTATTGTAAATTGTGCTGCTATGAACATTGGGGTGTATAGGTTCTTTGGATTGGTGTTTTGGGGTTCTTAAGATATACTCCCAGCAGTGGAGTTGCTGGGTCAAAAGGCATGTTCATTTTTAGTTTTCTTAGAAAATTCCATACTGTTTTCCATAGTGGTTATACCAGTCTGCAATCCCACCAACAGTGAACTACGGACCCCTTTTCCCCACAACCTCTCTAACACTTGTTGTTTGTTGCTTTTTTTTATGGTGGCCATTCTGACCGGTGTGAAGTGGTATCTCATTGTGGTTTTAATTTGCATCTCTCTGATGGCTATCAATATTGAGCATCTTTTCATGTGTCTCTGGATCCTCTGTATGTCCTCCTTGGAGAAGTGTCTGTTCAAGTGCCCACTTTTTAATTGGGTTGCTTGTCTTAGAGTGGAGTCGTGTAAGTTCTTTGTATATTTTGGAGATTAAACCCTTGTCTGAGGTATCATATATGTTTTCCCATACAGTTGGTTCCCTTTTTATTTTAATACTGTTTTTTTTAGCCATGCAGAAACTTTTTATTTTGATGAGATCCCATTTGTTTATTCTTTCCTTTATGTCCCTTGCACTAGGGACACTGATATGTCTATCAGTAAAAATGTTGCTGCGTGAAGTATCTGAGATTTTCTTGCTGATGTTCTCCTCTAGGACTTTAATGGTGTCACAGCTTATTTTAAGTCTTTTATCCACCTTGAATTTATTTTGGTGCACGGAGTAAGTTGGTGCTTGAATTTCATTTTTTAGCACATAGCTGTCCAGTTCTGCCAACACCATTTGTTGAAGAGGCTATCTTTAGTCCATTTTATGTTACTGCCCCCTTTGTCAAATATTAATTGCCCGTAGAGGCTTGGATTATTTCTGGGCTCTCTGTTCTGTTCTACTGGTCCATGTGCCTGTTTTTATGCCAGTACCAGGCTGATTTGATTACAGTGGCCTTGTAATACAGTTTGGTATCAGATAAATCACAATATGTAGACTGCCTAAAGTTATAGTCACACACATCATATCAAACAGATAAAATATAAACATTAAGTTAAATTATACCTTAACTTTTCTATAATGTCCTCCTTTTATCCATCATAAGTCACTTATAATTAAATTTCTGGAAAGCCTGTAATAGCAAATATTAGGGCTTGCTTCACTTCCCCCAAATTTTTATGAGGCAAACTTACATTTATTAATCTGTATTATTTGTTTATATTATTTCCTTCTCTGAGATGGTATATGCTGCCTTTCTCCTATATTTTACTGATATCTACTTGAGTAAGTATTTGGTGTACTTTGGTTATTACTAGATATTTTTAGAGACCACATTAGCAAATTAAGCCTAATAAGTTGACATTTATTAGATGTCAACAAAGAGAACAAAGTCACTTTGATTATAACATTCATGGGTTAGATTGCTTATTGTCACTTTAAAGTTGATGATTAACTAGTTCATCTTCATTCTGGGACTTTCTGAAAGGTAGATGAATGGCGTGGACTTTTAAGTATTCTTCACACTCCGCTGTAGAGTTACACTTAATATAATCATGGAAGGAGAATATCTTTATGTTAGTAGTTATGCTCACATACCATTGAACTTAATATCTGGAAATTGAAGCTCAGTAATTTTTTTCTGTGTGAATGTTATGTTTGTCGACGATACTGGAATTTTGGAAGAGCAAAATTTAGTGAAATATTATAATTCATACTTAAATATATTTGTCATCCTGCTGATAATGAAAGAATAAGAGGATTTGCTAAAATTTTGATAACTCTGATGTACCCTGCTGTGTACCTGGGATTACTGAAGAATTCGCACTTGAAGCAGGGCACTGATAAAGTGAATAGCAGTTGGTATATGCGTCCTGTCTTTCATTTTAATCCTAATTATTCTGAGAATGGGGTTGCATTATGAACAAGTGGATTCAAAATTTAACATCCTAAGGCATTAAAAACTAAATCACATTCATGGAAGATGGGTATGTTCTGAGAGCTTTATGACTAGAGAAGGTGCTGTACTGCCTGAACATGTCGCAGGTGGTTCCCAGAGTTTGTGCTGGTGATTTCTTGCTGGACGGTTGGGTAGACCAGTTGACAGCAATCAAATTGAGATACTGATCGAGAACAATCACTGTTTTACCATGTGGGAGATAGACAGCATATTCAAAACATGTAGCTAAAATGTTGAAAATCATTTGCAAAACTTGGCACGTTAATTGCTTTGATGTTTGGGTTCCACATTAAGTTAGGTGAAAAAAACTCCTCTTGACCATATTTCTGTTTGCGATTCTCTACTTAAACTTAATGAAAATGTTCCCTTTTTAAACAAGTTGTGACAGACAAAGAAAAGTGGGTACTTTCCAATAATATGAAACAGATTAGATTGTAGGGCAAGCGAAAATGAACCACCAGCAACCACACCAAAGGCCGGTAATCCAAAGAAGGTGATGTTGTGTATAGGGTGGACTGGATGGGAGAGCTCTGTTTTGAGCTCCTTCCAGAAAACCAGATGATTAATTCCAACAAGTACTGCTCCCAGTTAGACCAACTGAAAGCAGCACTTGATGAAAAGCATCCTGAATTAGTCAACAGAAAACACATAATCTTCCATCAGGATAATGTAAGACCACATGTTTCTCTGATGACCAGGCAAAAACTCTTACAGCTTGGCTGGGAAGTTCTGATTCATTTGCCATATTCACCAGGCATTGCACCTTTGGATTTCCATTTATTTCGGTCTTTACAAAATTCCCTTAGAGGAAAAAATGTCAGTTCCTCAGAAGACTGCAAAAGGTACCAGGAGCAGTTCTTTACTCAAACAAATAAAAAGTTTGGGGAAGATGGAATTATGAAGTTATCTGAAAGATGGCAGAAGGTAGGAGAACAAAATGGTGAATACATTGTTCAATAAAGTTATTGTGAAAATGAAAAATGTATCTTATTTTTACTTAAAAACAACTTTTGGCCAACCCAATAGAAACTTGAAAGAGATAGTTTGAACACAGTATGGTATTATATATGATATGTGCAAAAGATTAGATGTGGAAATATAGAGGAAGAGTATATTAGTTAGAATATACATACATTAAACAGGTACAGTAAATAGACACCAAAATGTAGTGGTTCAAAGAAGGCAGTTTGTTCTCTCTCATATGAAGTTCACCAGTGCACGAAGTACACGAGTGCAAGGTGGTGGGTGGGTCAGCTCAATGAGTTTATCCAGGGACCCCAGGTCCCTTTTATTTTATTTCCATTATATCCTAGGGCAGAGGCTGGAAAACTTTTTCTGTAAAAGGTCATATGTAAATATTTTAGGCCTACAAATTTTTGTAGTGGGAAAACTGACATAGACAGTATATAAGTATGCATGTGTTTCAATAAAACTTCACAAAAACAGATGGTAGGTTAGTTTATGTCCAGAAAACATATTTTGCCATCCCCGGCCCTTGGGTACTGCCTTCATCTGCATGGTTGAAGCAGCCACACTAACCACACAGCTCTTTCAACCTGGCCACAGGAAGAGAGAGTAGAAGGTAAGATTCTTTATTCACTCACTTTCCATTGGCTAAAACTCGGTCATCTGCTCACACTTATCTGCAGTGGACACTGGTGATGATTTGGACACTGACATTTGCTTTGTGAATTTGGTCCCTGGTCTTGGATGTAGGTGATGTCTCTGAGTGCCTTTTGCATCTGGTTTCTCTTCATGCTGGGCCGTCATGATTGTTTCTTGTGTAGTGTGAAGGCAGGTGTTGAAGCTTTGAATATAGCTCGTGGTTCCAGCATTGGAAAACTTGGAATATATTCCTCAGTCTTATAGTACCTAGTGGAATTTAAAACACTAAATCTGATTTATTACTGTGGAGAGCCCGGCTTCTCCTTTGGACAACTGATTATGTTACATAAATATGTTATTGAACAGAGTGACAGTGTACAGCTATTAATACATTTAGCAAGTTTAAACCACTAATATATATTAAGTAAAAGCCGCAGAAATTAAGACTTCTTATTTCTTGATTAGGAGAAAAAAGAACTGGAGTTATTTCTATTTTTGGATGATGTTATAATTCCTAGTAGTCTATTTCTGGCAGTATTATTACTTATTTTAAAGAAAGGACTAAAATTCTTTATTAGTCAGAAAATTAAAGCATTTTAATGCTAAGAGTAAAGTTTTATATGTAGTTATTAGGAAATTTTTATCTCTGAGTAAGCCACTTAATTTTCATGTGTTTTAGTTCATGCATTTGCAAAAATTAATATAATAATTATATTATATTTAATAATAAAAAATTATTATTATTATGTTAAAATTGTATAAGACTTTAAAAGTCATAATGAATGCTTGTCTTCTGCTTAGTGAACATGATGAAAGATTTTAAGTTGTACAGAGTGTTAATTCCTTTCAATATTTTTTGTGGTTCTTTAGAAATTATTTAGGGCTAATGTGGCAACAGTGCATCTCCTGATAACATTTTTACTCTAATAATTACAAATTGCTTTCCTAATTAAAAATTTTGATATTTATTTTTTTAAGATAGAGGTTTGAACATGAATTCATTTGCAGGATCTGCTATATATTTCTCATGTATATAAGTAAAAATACTATGTAGATTTTTATTGTTAGTTGATATACTTTTTATTCACTACCTCTTAGAGCATTTGTTATTTTGACTTCTTGCAGTGTAAAGGAATCTTCTCAGTGGTGTCCCATATATGTTTGTCCTTGGCTGTTTAAAAATTGTAGTGGCTACTATGAAGTTCCAGCTCATGAACTCTTGGTTGAGGGTGTGGCTCCCTAGTTTCCTTTTCAAAATTATCATTCCTGTCTTTTTCTGTGGCCGATATTTCTTGCAGATAATTCATTATAGGGGTTTCAGATAGGTCTGGAGTAAACATGTCTAAAATGAAACAAATTTTCTATGGATTTTAATTACCCTTACTTTTTCTCTGTAAGTCATTGAGACTTACTTTTGTACTTCTCATTAGATTACCATAGTGTAAGTTTTAAGAGGACAGGACTTTGTTATTCCCATGGCTCTACCGAACTGCAGAGGAGTCTGGGGAGTGTAGTTTGGTCCTGTGCCCCGCTATAATTCAGTTCCTGTGGAAGGAGATAGCAGCTTTTGGTAGATGGCTCTTGATTGCTTTCAGAGCATTGTTACGCTTTCCTGTTTCTGGCTGCTCAGACTTTGCTGAGGAGGAAGCTGGGGCTTCCTGGCTCCGTGTTCCTACAGGTGCTTCACCAATCAGTCCAATCAGTGTCCTGGGATTCTTTCCTGTTTTCTGTGTCAGTTACTTTAATCCTGGATCCTCCTGGGTGACCTCACCTTTATGGCAATTGTCTTGTGTGCCTTTTCAAGGGTGAAAACACAAGGGTTTTGTTCCTGACCTAGTGTCATCTTCTTTCAACATTTCCTGTTTTATCATAATTTCTGGGGCTTTAAAATTATATAGTATATGTATTATGTTATTTATAATTACATGATATGTAAGTCATATATTGTTAAATAATTTGACCAAATATACATCTGGTATATAGAAATTACATATATTTAATAATACATAATGTATATCTTGTAAAATCTTGGAACTTTAAAATTTCAGTCTACTGTTTCTATGCAAATCCCACAGTGTGGTTTTATTGCTTTTATGAGAGAGAGAACCTTACCTATCCTTTCTTTGATGTATGCTGTTACCATGACCTATTAACCAGAACTATTAAAAGGAAAGTTTCAATAAAAAAAGGAAAGTTTCTGTGCTTATTTTCCTACTTTATTGCCATCATTACAGCGATAAACAATAAGTGTTTGTATTTCCTTTATATTTATAAAGAACTTGGTGATGTACGAGGTCTGCTTGGAAATAATCCAACCATTGTTAATATGAGAATGGTTTGTGCAACATTGATGTAACGTGGCAGCCAAGGAGAATGGACTGGAATGTGCATGTGCGAACAATGACAACTTCACGGTACTAGTCAGTGTGGGCGGTAGATGCTGCTGAGTGAGTGTGTGTACTGTGTGGCTGGCGCATTCACAATGACTGAGTAGAGCAACAGATCTGCATCAAATTTTGCGTTAAGCTTTAACGTTCGTTCCTCTGTGGAAACTATTTGGATGATTCAGAAGGCTGCACTGTTAGCAACTGGTGATTGGCAGCTTCATCAGACAACATGCTTCCTCATATATCACGTCTCATGCAGAGTTTTATGGCAAAATATCAAATCACCTAATTGACTCAGCCCCTCTACAGCCCAGATTTGGCACCCTGTGACTTCTGGTTTTCCCCAAAACTAAAATCAGCCTTTGAAATGGAAGCAATTTCAGACCATCAGTAAAATACAACAGGGCAGCTTAAGGGGATTTGGGAGAACCGAGGTCCCAATTGCCTACTTTGAAGCAGGATGAGGCATCATTGTCCTGTTACAATGTTTCTTGTATCTTCTTCAATAAATGTCTCTATTTTTCATATTACATGGCTAGTTGCTTTCTGAACAGACCTTTCATATTCTCAATTATTTCTTGCTATAGCCATGTTAAATAGGTTTGTATTTTTATTTTATTTGTAGTTGAGGGAAACAGACAGAATTTAACTTATGATGACAGAGCTGGTAGGTAAAGTAGTCAGGATTCTAATTTAGGTTTTTGACTCCAAATTTAGCACCATACTCACTACGTTTATTTAAATCTTTACTTGAGATTTAGACATTTCAGTGGTTTGGTGGTACAGGTCATATATACGTATTTTTAAGACTATATTTATTTATTTTAGACAGAGGGAGAGAAGGAAACATCAATGCGTGGTTGCCTCACACATGCCCCCTACTGGAGACCTGACCTGGCCAACAACCCAGGCATGTGACCTGACTGGGAATTGAACCCATGACCCTTTGGTTTGAAGGCTCGTGCTCAATCCACTGAGCCACACCAGCCAGGGCTATTTCTTATTTCTAAAATAAAGGGTTAGATGGTTATTTTATGGTTTCATTTAACTCTAAAATTCTATTTCTAGGGTTTGTAGATCTCAGTTAAATACACATATGAATGCTTGAGATTTTGCACTTAATAAATGGGGAAATTTATTATAAGTTTTTTTGAGAGTTTTAGATTCATAGAGCAGAATGTCATCTTAGAAGTTATCCAGCTCATACTCCAACTAATTTCAGGAATCCTTTTTTAACACCCCTGACAGTGGGTTCTCTAACCTCTATTGAAATGACCCACTGATAGCTTAACTCTTCTTTAGGTCTAAATTATGGCTAATGGTGCCTGTAGATATAAAGAATTGGCAGATGATAAAGGAAGGAAAGAACTAGAGGGAAGATAGAGAAATAAAACATGAAAGTGTAAAATAGGCTGAGTTTTGGTAGTATGATGTTAACAGTTGACTTTATTGATAACTACTAGAATCCATGCCACTGGAATATCTTACCTTAGACTGTTAATTTTACTACCTTGGTCCTTGTAACCAGATGACAAAAACCTTGGAGAAAAACACTTTTGGGATTCCCTATTAATTTTGTATTATTGTCATGTGAATTCTATTGTGCCATTCATTCATTCTTTAAGAAAAACTGACAGATTTTTTTTCTCTTTAGAATTGTGTTCTTAGAGGGATTTTACAGAAAAAGACAGATAGTTTAGTTGAATATTTTAACTTGTGCTAATAGTCTTTCTCTTACTGAGACTGCTTTGAATGTAAAGGTACAAAGAAATGATGCATTCCCTGAAGAACATCATGATGGTCGTGGTGGAATCTATGATTAACAAGTTTGAAGAAGATGAGATGCGAAGTCAGGAGAGGCAGAAAAAAATGCAAAGGGAGAAAAGCAGTAGCTATTGCACAGACAACTGCTCCGACAGTGATTCGTCATTCAATCAGGTATGTTATTTAGTTGTGCATTTATGTCTTGCAATAGTGTGTAATAAACACTAGCCTTAAAACATTCTTTATTAACTAGATTATTTTTCTGCTTTCTAGTTATAAGCTTCAGAAGAAAAATAAACAATACAATAACCTAATATTAAAGATTTAGTCCATGAAATAACTTCTTGTAGAATTATATATTCAGTGAGTGATTACATTATATCTGAGTCATGGAGAAAGGCTCAGGAAAAGTACAGGAAAAGTACAGGAACAAAAGTTCAAGCAGCATTGCAGTTACATCTAGGGTGCTATTAGTGCCTTCTTTTTTATGTTGTTTTATCTTTCAGTATTATTCATCTCACATTTCTGGGCTTTACATCTTCTGAGCCTTATTATGTTCTACACATTGCAATTGCTCAGCAAATAATAATAGTTTTCATTTGCACGAAGGTACACTGTTCTACTGGGACATTCAGCTCTCATTTAAATGCCTTGGGAAACAAAAATTCTATGTTTGCTGCCAAATCAAAATACATCACTCCCTTCTCTTGTTCCAAATGCATTTTTTTTTGCTTGGAATTATATTTGAAAATTGTTTTTAGCAGTACTGCTAAAAGTGTACTAAATAAATGACTGTTCTGTCAATTGTGTTACAGAGTTACAAATTTTGTCAAGGAAAATTGCAATTGATTTTAGACCAGTTGGATCCAGGGCAACCAAAAGAGGTAAGTTTTAAAGGACGGCTGTTAAGTCCATATGTATGTGTGCGGGTAATGATTGTTATAATCAGAAGCAACTGGGCTGTTCCTCTTGAAGATGGTCTTTATTATTACGGCAGTGCTAGACTGACAGGCCGGCCAGGTTCCCACGTCCTGAAATGAAAGGTCGAGTAAGGGAAGCTCTCCGTAGAGAATAGTCATGATTTGTAGGGTTGAATTTTTATTTCTAGTTTCTAGTTTCAGTTTCGAAGGGATGAAGTTATGAGCAGTTTTTCCCCAAATTGTTCCTTAACTATTGCTTTATGTATAATATTTTAGTGATTTCTTTGAAGAAAAATCATTACATGTTCTTTCTATTTCTGGAAAATGTGAGCAGCTTTGACAAATATTCATTTATTAGAAAAATGATTTTAAAGATGCAATGCTGTTGAATTATATCTATTCATATTTTAAAAGTTTGTATGAATTACTCTTTAGGAAGTATTATTCACTTGAAAGTTAGGCTGAAGCAGAAAATACATAGTATTTTGAGGTACCTAGGACTCTTGTCTGTATCTTGCCATTTGGTCCCCACGAATGAATAGTTATAATTTTCTCCCACTGATTTTCTAAAAAATCAGAGGATAATTTTTTCCTCTCAGAATTTTACATTCTGATTTATTTTTTAGTTTCACAGTAAACACTGTTTCAAAATATATTGAAATGAGGTTTTGAATTTTATATGGTAATGGTCTTCTTGTCTTTAGTTTGAGTGATTATTTAGAAATCTATACTTGTTCAGAAACCTTATTCTATGTTTGCAAGTAGGAAATTCTTAATGGGATTTTGTACTAAAAATTGAAAGGAACAGTGTTTTTAAAAAAATCTTCATAGTTCCCCCAAACCCTATCATAAATAAAGGAATTATTTCATAGCAATAGAGACATTTAAAAAATACATTTGTATTCTGTCTTTTTTACCTAATACTTGCAACCCTGAATCAAAGTGTCTGGTTTCTGAGGTGCCAGTTCTTGTGTCTGGCTGCTCACCTATTTATTTTTTTTAATCTCCAGGAGTTAGTTATTTCAGCTGAAAAAAAAAAACAGGTTTTGAGGAAAAGTTTGGGATTGGTGTGTTATTACTAGTCGGAGAGCAAATGGGGGAGAAACTTGGTGACGTTCGTAATTGGAGGAGAGCCACTATTCTCCACTGCTGTCCCTTGGGTCACACTTTACTGAGTGAATTCAGATTGGATTTTGGGAAGAATGATTAAGAAGTAAGCTTTCTGTGAGCTTTCTGTGAAATACAGAAATTCAATTTTACATCATGCTGCTGAATGACTTTTTTCTACCTCAGCGGTTACAAGGTCAGAAAATCTGGTGTAGCAGCAAAAACAAGTGTAGATGTTTTGGGAGAATTGTTCCTCTATCCTGGGATGGGAACGCTTCTCCGTTTCAGCCCGCAGACTGTAGGAACGCCTGCTCAAGGGGGGCAGGCCGTGGGACAGCTGTGCCCTGGCCATTCAGCTTCTGCCACCACCTTGCTCTTCACCCACTCAGGGGAGTCTAGGTCACATGTCCAATACACTTAGTATTTTTGTTTTTGCTTTATATAAAATAACCAATTTTTTCCTCTGTTTAAGAACAGGTTTTAAAATGAGCTCTTTTAACAGGTCTAGTATTACAGAAATGCACATTTGCAACCTACATGATCCTACTAACCAATGTTAATAAAAGAAATTATTTTATAAAATAACATCTGTATCTCTTCAATCTCCTCTTTAAAACCATTATCTGGACTCTGCCTTTCAGTGTTTGTTAAAATTTGGAGAATTGCTCTTATTCTATCTAGCAGCTGAATATTAATAAAAATCTTTTAAAAAACTGCAGGTGAGATATGAAGCCTTGCATACGTTATGTTCAGCGCCACCGTCGGATGTCCTGACCTGTGAAAACTGGACCACTCTCTGCGAGAAACTGACGATGTCTCTTTCAGATCCTGATCCTGTGTTTAGTGTAAGGAAACGCTTCTAGAAATATTAATGGACCCTGTTACCTTGTGCATTTTGTTTTATCTTATGAAGGGATAGCCAAGCATATGCCATTGTTTTTGAGTTAAAAAACTACTTTTAAAACCTTTTAAATTGTTTCTTTGAAAGAATTCATGATATATGAAAATTTGAACTAAAATGATTAATTAGAATTTATTCTAATGGATGCATAAGAATTATTATGCATTTAGGTGTTTATTTAGAGATTTCTTAACTACTTAAAAAGAAGTTTGAAAAGTGTGAAGCTAAGAGTTAGAAGATAATTGACATGAATGATAATGCAAATGCAGAAAATTCCCTAAATTATAAAATTATGAATCCATAAAGATAACTGATTGTAAAAAAAATTTATATGATTTGTCAGGGATACTTCTTATATAACTATAGGTAAGATGGTTAAAAAATGCTGTAACTTGGCTAGTATCTATAATGTACATTAAAAAAAATCTTGACTGTATCCTAGCATCATATTTAAATACTAATTAGGCCTTTTTAGAGGGTCTTTTCTTCATAATTGATATGTCAGTGAAGAAAAATTTTGCTTTATAATTTATGTAGTATTTTTATTGAATTTTTGAGGCATTAAGTACAGAGTTAAATAGATTTAACTGTTGAATAAATATTTATTAAATACCTATGGTGTGTATCATTCTAGTTTAGGTGCTAAGCACACAATACAAGACAGAAGTCTACCTTCATAGGGCTTATGTTCTAGTAGAGAAGATAGTAAAGAGACAGTTGTAAGAAACTCAGTGCATTTGTGTGTTTAAAAACGCTTTCATCAATGAAGATATATTAGTAAACAGAAGTGGTTTGTAAACAAGTAGATTGTTATTTTTATAAAGGGGAAAAAGCTGTTTAATTACTTAATACCTGCATGCAGTTCAACTTTACTAACACCAGAGGGTGTTGCAGACTTCTGTAAACAAAAACAAAAACTAAAAAGCCAAACTCAATGACTCAAGAACTTCAAGGGGGAAAAAACATAGGTTCACCTTTAACATTTCAAGGCTGACTAACAGCAAATATAGCTGTGAATTTCTCTGCATTTTCTTTTACTTAACAGAAGAGTAGTCAGATAGGTTTCCTTTAATTATTTAAAATAACTATGTGACAACTTTATAAATATAGTATAGATCCTAATGGGTTAGTATAAGTGGCTTTATTTAGCCATTATAGATTATTACATAGCAAGAGTCAGTATCAATCATTAATTTAAAAAAGTTGGAAGATGTTGTTAAAGAGGGGAAATGGTAACAGAACCATTCATTTTGGAGTAGAAAACAAGGCGTGATATTTTTTCATTTTGAATTTATGCTCGATCCAAATTCTCTTTGAGTTTAATTCTATTTCTTCATTTTCTCCTCTAAAGGACTCTTAAGGTGTAACTGACTGAAGCCTGTAGTGTTTGAAAAGTGTGACAGACACTGAGCAATTGCTGCAAATATAAAAATAGACTTTCCAAATAATTTAATATTATGTGTCCAGCAGGAGTCTCTTGGAGTTATTAGAAAATATTTTAGTCATTTGTGTAAACATCTTTTAGTGTATTATTCTAAAATTTGATATAGGTAAAATTATTAGTTTTTTTCCTCAAAGTAGAACATTTGAGGCAATTTTTTGTTTTTATTTAATGGGAAGTTGAACTTCACTGTTAGGATTAATCTCATCTCAATAATAAAGTTGGTATTATGAAAATGATAGTAATAGCTATCATTTTTAAGTACCTACTAGTACCAGGTACTGTTCTAACTATATATGTTATCTCGTTTAACTTATTTACCTGGTGATAGTTTCTACTTCAAGTTTTAATAATGTTCTGAAAATTTATTATTACATAATGCTTCTTCTTGTGAGTAGGCAAAATTATTAGAGTCCTGTATATATACTGAGACTACCTGTGTAAGCAATTAAGTAAGAGGCCACATATTGGACTCAGGAAGAGTGATATATATATTATGGTTAGTAACCCTACTCTGTTTCCTTGACACCATCACATTGTACCCTCCTCTGTCAAACCTCAACCACCCATCCCATGTCTGTACCTGTTACCAGATTTTACAAAAATATACTGCTGTCTTACATTTACTACTAGTTTTACTCAGTTTTACTTTTTGCCAACCAACAGAAGAATGTGCCCTTTTTAAAATAGGTACATTTTTACACAAGTTTATTATTATTATTATTACATTTATTGGGGTGATCCTGGTTAATAGGATCGTATAGGTTTCAAGCATATCTTTCTATGGTATGTGATCTGTATACTGCATCATTGGCCCACCACCACGGTCAAACCACGTATTTGGCTCCCTTTACCCCTCCCACTTCCCCACCTCCTCCCTCTGGTAGCCACTCTACTGTTTTCTGTGTCTATGAGTTTCTGTTTTATATCTTACATATGAATGAAATCATATGGTTCTTAGCTTTTTCTGATTGACTTATTTTGCTTAGCATAATACTCTCAAGGTCCATCTGTGTTGTTGCAAATGGCAGCATTTTATCTTTTCTTGTGGCTGAGTAGTATTCCATGGTGTATGTGTACGACATCTTTCTTCTTTATTTAATCCTCTATTGAAGGACATTGATTGTTTCCATGTCTTGGGCACTGTGAATAATGCTGCAGTGAATATAGGGGTGCAGATATATTTGTGAAGAAGTGTTTCCAACTTTTTCAGGTAGATACCCAGAAGAGGGGTTATTGGGTCATATAGTAACTCTGTTCTTATTTTTTGAGGAATGCCATACTGTTTTCCATAGTGGCTGTACCAGTTCACATTCTGCAGGGAATGAGGGTTTCTTTTTCTCCACAACCTCTCCAGCACTTGTTACTACCTGTCTTATTGATAGTAGCCATTCTAACAGATGTGAGGTGGTATCTCATTATAGTTTTACATGTGTTTCCCAATAGCTAGTGAAGTTGAATATTTTTTCATATACCTGTTGACCATTTGTATGTCTTCTTGGGAGAAGCATCTGTTCAGGTCCTCTGCCAATTTTTCTAAGTTGGATTATTTGGTTGATGTTTAGTTGTAAGAGTTATTTATACATTTTTGACATTAATCCTTTGTTGTAGCTGTTCTTTGCAAATGTCATTTGCCTTTAAGTTTGTTGCCTTTTTGTTTTGTTGTTTGTTTCTTTTGCTGCGCAGAGTCTTTTTTAGTTTGATATAGTCCCATTCATTTATTTTTGTCTTCACTTCCCTAGCCTTTGGGGTCAAATTTATAAAAAGCTTTCTACAAGCAAGGTTCCATAAGTTTAGTATATATATTTTCCTTTATGTTTTTTATTATTTCAGATATCATATTTAAGTCTTTGATCTATTTTGAATTTAATTTTGTACATGGGGACAAATTGTAATCTATTTTAATTTCTTTGCATGTGGCTTTCTAATTTTATTGAAGAGACTTCTTTCGTTTTTCCATTGTGTGTTTTTGGCTCCTTTCTCAAAAATTACTTGCCCATATACATCCTACACAAGTTTCTTAATGATTTATTTTCTAAGTTTTTTACTACAGGAAAAGTGATTCATCTTTTTTCTATTTTTTATAAGAACTTTTGATGCAAATCGTTTGTTTTATTTTCATAGGACCGGATTTTAAAATTCTATGCACAGACATTCACCCTTTCACCATTACATCTGACAAAGGAAATTTATACAAGCATAGGTATGTTTGTTAAGTCATTTAAATTTTTTTCTTTTATTTGTATTGAAGAAAATAGATCAGAAATAACTTTTTTTTGTCAGAAAGCACTGTAATTGAATAGTATACTAGTATATATTTTTTTACTTTCAGCTAAATATTTGGAGATATACTTTCTTTCTAGAGAAAATCATATTCCTCCTATTTCAACTGGCATAGATATAACTAATCCTAATATGATCCGCTTACTTAAAAAGGTATTTATTTGCTGTAATATGCTTCTATTTTTATTTAAATAGTTCCATATTTAAGAATTCTCACTTTTTGATAACTGCCATGCACTGCTTTCTAGGTTCGTCTTCTAAATGAATATCAGAAGGAGGCTCCATGTTTCTGGATTCGCCACCCTGAGAAGTGAGTCCCCTAATTGATGTCGACATAAAACCTACAAGTGTTACTGTCCCACATGCATTCTGGACAGAAAGAGTAGAGAGTATCTTAATCGATGTATGTGATTAGGAAGGGATTAATAAAGCTATTTTTTAGCTTTTCATGTTTTGTATTTAGTCTTTCGAATGCCTCTATGCAGGTATCACTTTACATCATTTGTTTATCACCATAAAGTCATAAGAGTGTGTTGTAACTTCTAGTTCTTTCATTATAAGTCGTTAGTACTTTGGATAAATTCCTTAAGTGTTCTTTAAATTTTTTCCTTTTAATTCTAAAATTTTTAATAGGGCTCTAAGAGCAACCATGATTCTAAAAAAGGAAAGTTAAATTTGAAAAGCCAGTGTTAAAATAGAAAGAAGATAAGTTTATAAAGTAGAAAAGCCATTTACTGAAATATAAAAAAGTAGTTTCTAAAAGTTACTTAACACTATCATTTCATGAATACAAGATGTATCACCAGTTTTATATATATATATGTTTATGTGTATGTGTGTGTATGCATATATATGTGTATGTGTATTTAGCATTTGTTTTTTCTTTTCCAAACTTTAAGGTATATGGAAGAAATTGTGGAGAGTACTTTGTCCTTATTGTCACTTAAACATGATCAAAGTCATCTTGTCTCACAAAAGGTTTTGCATCCCATCTACTTTCTTGTATTGGTTGATACCAGGGCTGTGTGGTTCAAAAAGTGGATGGTAAGAAAAAATAAAATAAGTTTTTATACTTTTAAGTACATAGCTGTATTTCAAAGAATAGCTGATGTTTGAGTGTTTGCTATGTACTGAGTTATAATCTCTTTTATATGCGTTAACTATTTTTTTTTGTGATTAGTGTTTTAAAAAATTTTTATTGTTGTTCAAGTGTAGTTGTCTCCATTTTCCCCCAACTACTTCCCCCTACCCTAGCCATACCCACCTCCCACCCTTGATCCTACCCTGCTTTGGCTTTGTCCATGTGCCCTTTATGCATGTTCCTTGACAACCCTTCTCCCTTTTCCCTCCATTGTACCCTTCCACCTCCCCTCTGGTTACTATCAGTTTGTTCTTAATTTCAGTGTCTCTAGTTATATTTTGCTTGCTTGGTTGTATTGTTGATTAGGTTCCACTTATAGGTGAGATCATATGGTATTTGTCTTTCACCACCTGGCTTATTTCACTTAGCATAATGCTCTCCAGTTCCATCCATGCTGTTGCAAAGGGTAGGGGCTCATTCTTTCTTTCTGCTGCATAGAATTTCATTGTGTAAATGTACCATAGTTTTTGGATCCATGGATTTACTGCTGGGCACCTAGGGTGCTTCCAACTCTTGGCTATTGTAAACTGTGCTGCTATGAACATTGGGGTGCATGGGTTCTTTTGAATTGGTGTTTCAGGGTTCTTGGGGTATAGTCCCAGCAACAGAATTGCCAGGTCAAAAGGCAGGTCCATTTTAGTTTTCTGAGGAAATTCCATCCTGTTTTCCACAGTGGCTGTACCAGTCTGCATTCCCACCAACAGTGCATGCACTAGGGTTCCCTTTTATCTACAGCCTTGCCAGCAAAATTAACAAACTTGTTGTTTGTTAATTTGGTTATGATGGCCATTTTGACCAGTGTGTAGTGGTATCTCATGGTGGTTTTAATTTGCATCTCTGATGGCTAGTGATGCTGAGCATCTTTTCATATGTCTCTGGGCCCTCTGTATGTCCTCCTTGGAGAAGCATCTGTTCAGGTCCTTTACTTTTTATAACAATGTATGAGATAGGTGGTATTATTATTCCATTTAACAGATATAGCAACTGAGGAATAGGGAAGTTAAAACAACTTGTCAGGATTGTTTATCTAGTGAGTCATTAAACCAGAATAGTGTTATAAATGGTAATTCATTTGAATGTATTAAGCTGAATGACCTGTCCGTAACTAGTCATCTTTAGTTTAAAAACTTCAAATTTTTAAAGCAGGTGTGGTAGAAATATGGGTTCAATGAGCATTTTTCTCTGGCTTACGTGGTATCTATGAAAATATTCCTTTACTTGCCTTTTCGTGAACCTGCAGTTTGAGAAATGTGTTTAATGCCTGAACACTGGTGATTTCCTACAGAGCTCATCACTGTCCTCAAACCAAAATTAATATTAGAGTAGAGATCCTCACACTGTTTCCTCCCTCATCTGCTGTTGAATACGAGTGGCCGATGCCTGGCAGTGGTCTCATCAGTGTTGGCTTAGGTTTCACGTCTTTGTCCCTTTCAGCCCATCTACTGAGCACTGTATATTTGTGGGGAAGGGAGAGGCCGGGCCCCATGACTTGCCATGCAAAGCAGCAGTACATTCATTTATTGCTTAGCACAATTTGGACATTACCTAGATCATGACATTTTTTTTGCCTTGTGTTATCTAAACTGTATAATAATGCCCAATGAACTAAAACACAGTTCTGTCTAGTACTTAGCCCTTACCTAGCCTATCTAGTGTGTGCTAATAAATATTTGCTCAATTCAAGTAACCTGAACCTTTAGTTTCTCACACGAGTTTGGCCTTTTCCTTAATTTTTTTTGATTATCAAATTATAACATTATTGTAGAAAATATGCAAAATATGTAAAACCACAAATAAAACGAAATTGATCTAGGTCTATAACACAAGGTTAACAACTATGAAGATTTTGATATAATATAGTATTATATATACTTTTAAATTTATGTGTTTAGGTTTCTTGTAACAAAAATCATGTTTTACTGTTTATAACTTTTTTACTTAACATTTATATGGTCAGTACTTGATTCTTAAGAGAAAAAGGATAATCACAGGAGATAACCAATGGAAAATTACTGAAAATCAGCTCTCCAAGTGTGTTGTAGTATTGATGAAAATTCATCAAATTCTCCTACACCCTCTAAGCCAGTGGTTACCTTATATAAAGGGCCAGACAGTAAATATTTTTTGCTCTGTGGGCTGTACTGTATGTGTTGCAACTATTCAACCCTCTGTCGTGGCCCCAAGCATCCACAGATAATATATAAATGAACGGGTGTGACTGTGTTCCAATAAAACTTTATTTACCAAATTACATGGCAGCCGAATTTGCCCTGAGAGCTATAATTTGGTTACTATCGTCTGAGGGATATACTATGAAGTTTTTTTTTCAGAACATGATCAGTAGTTTAGTTGTAGGTCAACATATTTCTCTTATAAACCTGAACGTTATTAATGGTTTTGGAAACATTTTAAGCTGTGAGGCTTAAAACATGCAGGATTTGATTAACCCTCAGTCAACTAAAAGCCCATTTAGTTAAACTCTATTCCCCAGAATTCTGATAGATTTTACTGTATAGTATTCTGTTTACTAATTTTTATTCTCAAGTAAAATGAAGAAACTACATTGAACACCAATGCTCTCTAATATAAATTTAGTTAAGTAATATTTACATGTATTTTCCCCTTGCTTTGTCCAGTGGCTAAGAATCATGTTTTAATCACATCTATATTTAGCTCTGAGGAGAGAATTAAATATTTTTTGTACTTGGAATCCTTTAAAAAATATGATTGGCAGAGCACAATTATGATACTGTCCCTTCAGAGCATTTCTCCATTGTCTACTTTTGGCATATGTAGCTAGTACAGTGTCTCCACGGTGCCAGGGTTGTGATTTCCACCCCCACACCCACGTTGGCATTCGTCTCTGGGCTCTGTCATACACTGGTAGTCCGATTTTTTTGATAGTAGTTTTAAAATAGTTTAGTATGGAGACTGGTCACAGTTGAGAGATAGAGTGTCTTTCTATTGCTCAGTCATACACTGATTTTTTGATATAATTTGGATTCTTGTGATTGCTATGCCCATAACCTATTATACATAGAAAAAGCTGTTTGGTATGATTATAATAATTTAAAACTAAGGTACTGTGTAATTTATGATAATATTGGAAGTGATGTAAGGAAAAACAGATTTTGAATAGTATAGTTTGAATATTAAATGCCATTTTTTTCTCCTAATTTTAGCATGGATATTATAGCAGAACCGTTGTACTAAGACTTCTTGAAAAGAAATATAAATCTCTGGTAAGTCTATATTTCTGTTCTTTTGTTGAGATATAATATCACAAAAGGATATATGATGTTATAACTTGAATGTGCAAAGATGAAGTGATAATTATTGGATAATGAAGGAGTCCCCCTTTTATGTGATTTTCAAACTACGATTCTCTGAAACATAAAAGGATAAAAGTAGAGTCTTCCAATACAGTCGGGATAGCAATGAGGAAAATACATAACTGCATAGTAATTTTGGCTGCTAATAAGCTAGTTTGAGATATAAACCACATTTTTAAGTATTGTCATGTAATGTAATTCATATCAGTTTTTTGTAAGGGAGTGAGTTCTATAAAATATACCCATACTATCGACTTAAAGTTGAATGAAAAAACTCAGAATGATATATGTTTTTGCATTTGTAAAAATGGATTCAGGTTATACCAAATAGAAACCAGTGCTGTAAAATATAGTAGCAGAATTTTTTACATTTATTGCTCTTAATAGAACAATATGTAAAGGCAGTTGAAAGAAATGAAAAGAAATCAGCAATTCAAATAATCATGACAAACATGAAAAATATGAAATGTATTAAAATATTTAACAAGTTATACTAATGGGACTTTGAGATGGTAAATATGATTTATATCATTAGGATCTTGAGTTTAGAAGTCAGGTGAAGGGAAAGATTCACGGAATTGTGAATTCATGAGTGAATGTAGTAGAGCGTAAAATGAAAGAGAACAGTAATTGTTTTGTGCTTGAGAATCAAAAGAATTGAGCTTCAGAAACGAGAAGAGGTGTATTGAAAAAAGTGGAATTTATTTGTAGAGGTAATAGGTGGTTAAAAATCTTTAGGCAAACTCATTTGAAATAGTATCTTTCCATGTTTCATTTTTCTCCTCCATTTTATTTTCAGAATTAATGAGCAGATTTTGTACATACACAGTGGAGACTTTGAACCACTTGTCTTTTGTTCTAAAAAAGGTCCTCTCCTAAGGCCTTCAGTCAGAGCAGCCTATTCAGCTTGGTGACCTGCAACAGCAGTTCTCCCAGCTTCTCTTCAGTGCTGTTGATGACATTTTCTGCATCAGTGGGATGTCTGCCTTGCCCAGCAGGGGAGCCACCAGCTAGATTGGTGTCTTGAAAACTTGAAATGTGATTAGGGAAACTGAGAAACTCCATTTCTCGTTTTCTTTAATTTTACTTTATAACTAATATCTGCTTTGTGGCTACTCTGTGTGATTCTGTTTGTTAGAGTTATGACATTTATGATATTTTCCGTGGGTAGCTATAGGCAACAGATAATTTATGTATATGTGCTGTCATTTTTTAAAAGAGATGTCTGAGGAGGTTGAGAGTTTTATTTCCATAGTATTGCAAAGTCATGAATTAGTTGGAAGGCACTTTGGCTATCAGCATAAATATTTAACCTTTTATTTTTAACAACTTGAATCAACTCTTAAGGGAATGACTCCTGAAATGGCTTTATATAATGCATTTTCTAGTCTTCTTTCTCACAGTCATTTAAAAATATTGCTAGTAATGTTATTTAGATTCTCAGTTTGCTTTTTCTATCATAGGTTCTTTCTACAACAGTATATTTTTAATACCCCCTCCACCCTCTCATCTTGGTACATATTGATAGTGCAGGAGAATAAGTACCAGATTTGATCCTGAATTTTACAGCAAATTTCTGTCTTCCTGAGGTTTAGGACAGTCATTCTTCATACCTTCAATTGGACGCTAGACTAATGTCTAAATTTACCAACTTTAGATCTGCTTTTTGTTCCTGTGTTTTAAAGGGATATTATGTGATGTGATCATTTATCTACTGAGATTGTACCTTTTTCTGTGATTGTTACCTATTCTCAAAGTAAAATGTGACACACTTACGAAGCTAGGGGAAGGGGTACCAGGAACGGAAGTGGGTGTAATTGAGTTGTGAAGGTGAAGCTAGGTAGAAATGGGTGCAAGGGGGATGGGCTTCTGAAGGTTTGAATGGAAATGAACTTGAGTCTTTGAGAGAGATTATTTTGGAGAGAGTGTTTTGAGTTCTCAGTTAAAGAAGCTAACTGTTCTTTGCTCCTTTGTTTTATTCTTTAGAACTTCTTTTATTTATTTTTCTATAATGGCAGTTGTTATTCTAAATCATATTTGTTGTTGCTTTTTAACAAGGTATGTGTAAGAATTATGATTGTAAGAGTAAGTTTATCTAGAAAGAAGGAGTTCCATCAGGAGGGTGCTGCATCTTTGAGTTGGAGAAACTCATGACAAACAAGAATCAGATCACTACACTTTTGGGCAAGAGCGGGTACTCATAAATGTTGTGTCAGGTTCTGACCAAGCCAAAGCTTGGAAGGGCCTATGTGACCAGTGACATGGCAACCACTGACTTGCCTCTCTCATGAATTGACAAGCCAGGGAGTATCCTCACAAAATTTTTGTAGGATTCCCAAGGGAATTTGACCAGTTGCTTTTGCATAATATTTTTGCTAGCAGCTGGTAAAAACAGGGCTGGCTGGTACTGATTGATTGGGTTGGACTGTGCCTCCTTCTGTTCTCTATAGTATACTCAGTAGATACAAGATAAACCAGAAGTAGATGCAGGATAAAACAAGAAGAAAAAAAAAGTGAAGACTGTACTAATAACAAAGCAAAAGTAGCAAAGAGTAAGAAGGTTAATAGCAAAATTTTTTACTCAATAGTGACCCTTCAAAATAAAACATTACTTTGTGCAAATTTGAACAACTTTTATTACAAATCTTAGGATAACACATTTTGCAATGAAAGCTTAGTGAAGAAGTTGGAGTTTAGGTTGTCGTTAACACAGACTGACATAGTGGCAGATCCGAAGGAATATCAGTTTGGGACTCAAGAGAGGCAGGACTGGTGAGCAACTCTTTTGTGTGACGATCCCACTGAATGCTGCCAAGTCAGAGTCTTCAAGATAATCTTAGTGGAAGCTCCAGAATTTTCAAGGATTAAGACCATTTTTCAACATCCGAAACAGTGCGTGAAGCTGGCTTTATTGCTTACTTAAGTTGGGCAAAGCATATTCTTAATCCTGTGTGGTTTGGGGAAAAGCCAAACTCAGGGAATTATGGGCTTTCAGAGGGGAGAGTAAGTTCAGCCAGCTGTAGAAGAGTGGCAACTCAGGTGGGATTGATGCTGACCGACTGGCTTTTACAAATACACTTTACGGAGTGTGTCTGTTTCTGGCTGATTTTCAGAAGCAACGGGCTAACACTGCTTGGCTTTTAGATGTAAGTTCTTTAAGATCTTCTGACATATATTGATATACAAAAGCTTAAACTTGTTCTGCTGGATACCTGTTACCTTGTTTGCATATGTTTATCATTGATATATTAAATAGATTAAAGTCATCTATAAAACAAATTGCACTTTTCGGAAGATTGTGGGGAATTTTTTATTCTTAATGAATTGGTGTTATCCTGGAAAAGTAATGTGGGTGCTGTAGGTAGTGGTAGGAAAATATTTCAAGGAAATGTAATATCATGTTCAAAGGCCTAGTGACTGGAAAACACATAGTTCATATGGAAACTGCACATTTATATGACTGAACATAGATTAGAGATAGAGAAATGTGAATTGGTATTAGAGAAATTTCTTGAAAATTGGCTCTCTGAAAACTAATATTTAGTGCATGAAGGTTTTTGAAACATTGTAGGGTGCTTTAAATTGGGTATGTGTCAGTTGACTTCAGTTTGTTCCACTCATGCATGGGGTAGGGCATAATCTCATCAAAATAGAAAATACCTTTTTTTTAAAAGGAAATCCACAGCCCCTTTGCTTTTGCAAATGACAGTATTGAGTTTGATGTACATGTGAGTTTTGAGTGTGTTTAAAATCTAATTGGTGTGTATTGATTGATGAAATTTTTAGTGAATTTGCTTTTGATGAGTTGGTCATTTGGCTGGTTGTATGATAAATTGGCTTTTGGTGACCGATTTTTACACAGGTAGATGTATTTCTGTACTTGTTCGTGCCTGTGTTTGTGGTTAGGACAGGGGCTGTCTGGAGGATGAGACCGTATAGCAACAAATTTAGGAGACCGGTATTTATTCTGGAGGTGTGGTTTTTAAGCCACTAATAGGTTGTTAAGTACTGAAGTAACATCATACTAAGGCTTTAGAATATTTGGAAAATGGGTTTAAGGTGCTGGATGGAGATAGGAGAGAAGTAGTATTGAAGCAAAAAGATTAAGAAGAGGCTTCTTAGTAATCCAGGGCCAAAAAATGATAGAGACATAAATTAGGGCTCTTGACAGAGTGAATTGGATAAATGGATGGATTTAGGAGTACCATCTTTAGAATGTAGGATTTAGAGACTTGGCCTTTTGAATGAGGGTGGGGAGATGAGTGAGTTACTTATCTAAATGTGAGACTCTCTCAGTAGGAGAAAAATAGGAGAATTAGGAAAGGTAATGCCTTTGGGCTTGGTAGATTTGACCATGTCTAGTGTGAGATCCAGATTTTTAGGAGGCAATTTTACAGTATTGATTTAAATCTCTAAAGTTTGATTTAGATGAGATGTACAGGTATAGAATGGGGTCACCAAGACCACCCTCAGATTTGATAATTTTCTAGGAGGACTCATAAGACTCAGTATATAGTCATATCCCAGCTATGATTTATAACAGAAGGAGGATGCAAAACAAAATTGGCACAGGGAAAAGGTGCGTTTAGTGAAGTCTGGAGAACACCAAGTGTAAGTTTTTAGTCTTTCTCCAAGTATCAAATTGTGACAGCTCTTGTGAAATGTAGTCTACCAAAGAAGCTCATTAAAGACTCTGCCCATTTTTTAAACTTGGGGGTTGGTTATGTAGACATCCCCTGCCTAGCACATACCAGGACTATAGGCTGCAGATTTTTATGATTAACAAGTTGTTATTTTATTAGATAACTACAGCAGTTCAGCAGTGCATTCAGTATTTTGAGTTATGTGAGACCATGAAAGCTGATGAGATTGTGGGACATTCAAAGCATTGTGGTAAGTATGGTTTTCTCTGTCATATACTTAGAACAATGATACAGTTTATTAATAAAAATAGCTTAGTAGTAATGTATTTTTAAATAGTTAGCATGGTAAATTACATCATTTTGTTAATGTCATAAATTTAAAATATATACCATAATTACAGCCTTTTATTTTTCATTATTTTCCCTTCAAAAATTTGGGCCCAAAAGTGCACATTATACACGGTGAAATAAGGGTGCCTCTTTGTACTTCTTAATCCCCTCACCTCTTCACCCATTCCCCCAAACCCTCCTCCCATCAGGCAACCATCAGAAGGCTCTCTGTATCCGTGATTCTGTCTCTGTTCTTCTTAGTTTGTTTTTTAGATTCAATTGTTGATAGATATGCACTTACTGCCACTTTGTTGTTCATAGTTTTGATCTTATTCTTTTTCTTAAATAAGTCCCTATAACATTTTATATAATAATTGTTTGATGATGTTTTCTTTTAGTTTTTTCTTATTTGAAAAGCTCTTTATCTAGCCTTTGATCCTAAGTGATAGCTTTGCTGAGTAGCACAATCTTGGCTGCAGGTCTCTGATGTTTATGACTTTGAATATTTCTTGCCAATCCCTTCTTGCCTACAAACTTTATTTTGAGAAATCCCCTGACAGTCTTAGGGGAGCTCACTCGTAGGTAACTAACCTCTCTTCTCTTGCTTCTCTTAAGATTTTCTCTTTCTCTTTAACCTTTAGCATTTTAATTATAATGTATCTTGGAGTGGGCCTCTTGGCATCCATCTTGTTTGGGATTCCCTCTGCTTCTTGGACTTGTAAGTCTATTTCCTTCACCAAATCAGGGAAGCTATCTTTCATCATTTCTTCAAATAACTATCCAATTTCTTGTTCTTCCTCTTCTCCTTCAGGCACCCCTATGATGTGAGTGATGAAATGCTTGAAGTTGTCCCAGAGGCTGCTTATTCTGTCCTTCTCTCTTTTCTTTTCTCTTCTTGTTGTTCTGATTGTTTTTTTTTCCTTCCTTATGTTCCAAATCATTGATTTGAATTTTGGCTTCATCTACTCTACTGTTGTTTCCCTGTAAACTGTTCTTTATTTCAGTTAGTGTATCCTTCATTTCTGTCTGGTTCTTTTTTATGCTGTTGAGGTCCTCCCTAGGTTCCTTGAGCACCCTTATAACCAGTGTTTTTGACTCTGCATCTGATAGATTGCTTATGTCCATGCTGTTTAGTTCTTTTTCTGGAATGTTGATCTGTTCTTTCATTTGGGTCTTGTTTCTTTGTTTCTTCATTTTGGCAGCCTCCCTATGTTTGTCTCTGTGTGTTAGGTAGAGCTATTATGACTCCCTTTCTTGGTGGTGTAACCTAGTATAGTAAGTGTCCTGCAGGGTCCAGTGGTACCACCACCCCATTCACCCAAGCTAGGTGCTCAAGGTACGCCCTTCTCTGGACTGAGTACACTCTCCTCTTGCAGTTGAGCTTTGGTTGCTGTTGGCAGGTTAGTGGGAGGGATTTTCCCAGGCCAGTTAGCTGCAAGGACTGGCTGTGACCACTGACCATCAACCTTCACCCTGTGTGGATGATCACCTGTGCAGGGCAGGGTGGTGGTGCTCTGACCTCATCTGTAGCTGTCCACTGGATGCTCAGGCTCTGCGGTTTCCTGGGTGGTTCAGGCCAAGGTCAGCCCCCACCTTGGTTTTGTTCAAGGCCACCCTGCATGAGCTATAAAGCAATCTGAGGTGGCTGCTACTTGTGCTGGGCTTGGAGATTCTGAGGTGAAGCCAAGCTGTGTATCTAGGCTGGCTGCTGCTAGTGCCATGCCTAATTATTGATTAAAATGAATCTTCTTTTACATTCAAGATTCTTTTGTATGCCAGTGTCTATACACCTTTATCATTCATACACCTACTGCCCCATCCATAATCCCTTACATCAATACATCTTATTTATTGTGAAAGAATAAACTTTGTTTTTCAATTTTTCATAAAGGATTTTCCTCATAGTCTGGATTTTTTCTTACATCACACAACTTGTCATGTGAATTAGGTATTTGTCATTCTATTATTTTATTGTCAGTTCTCTAAGTAAATATTAAGTTCTCTGTGAGTGTGACAATAACCTTATTATTTTTTTATCCTTGGGTAAATCTTTATCTAACTCGAATAAGAAAAATGGTTGAACACTGACAGTTAATGGGTTTCAAATGTCAGAGTTTCATAGTGCAGGACAAAGTACACCAGCCAGAATTCATTCTTCAGGAAGAAGAAAAAGACAAAAAAGAACAGGATACATAAGTTTATATACACACCGTATTTCTAAATTTGTAGGTTTTTCTAGTTTTTTGATGTTAAAATGTTTTTATATAGCACTTTTTTTCCCTACAAAGTCTACCAGCCTTCAATAGCTTTTCTTTCCTCCCTTTCCTCTCAGGGCGCTTCACTGCATTCTTCTGCTGTGTCTTTCAGAATTTTTGCTCTTTTTTCTTTCAGAGTTTCTTGCCTTCAGTGTTTTAACTTTAGGTTTAACCTTCTCTCTTCTCTGCCCCTTAGGAAATTGAGCATAGAGCACTTGTGACATAAATTGATAGTGTACATGCATTTTTCTAACCTCAGCTGCTCTCTGTGTTGCTTCGGGATCCTTCGAGATGCTTTTTCTTCAGTGTTTCATAATAGCTCTCGCAAGCCTTTGCTGGTCTCTTCAAGACCCCTACCTTGCCCCTGCCCACTTTTCTCTCAAGAGAATACCTTGCATGCTGTTTCACTAAGAGAAATGAAACTTTCCAGATGTGAATTCCCCAAATGCCCTGCTTCTGTGCATACAAATTCATGTTTATATGCCTCTTTCAGTGCCACCTTTCTCAGGTGTTCCAGGTTGATCTCTGTTCCAGGTTGATCTCTTTCTCTGTTCTTGATTCTGTTCCCCATCTGCTAGTTTTTACTTTTGTTTTAAAACTGGTACATTGATTTACTTGTTACTGTATCTCCCTTTCTTTTGGGATCTTTCCCTGCATCCTCCAAAGCTACTTCTATTTCTTTCATATAAAAAACTGAGCAAGTTCACATGTACCTTACCTTTCTGCTTCCTTTCAGAGAAAATTCTTTTAAGTATTCATTATATACCCAGGCCCCATTTCTTTACCTATTATTCACTTTTTTTAAATTCACTTTTCAGCTACAGAAATGAGGCTTCTATTTCTGGTGCTCCATGACCTTCCCCTTATCATCTCTCCTCATTTCTTGTCCTCATTCTGCATCATTAGGCTCTGGTGACCCTTTTCCTCCACTTCCTGGCACCATTCTTTCTTGGATTTTGTCATTCTTATCCAACAAATTTTTAGTCACTAAAAAGGCTCTTTTCTTTGTATGTTTGTACTCACAAAAGTTTTTCCCTTTGTTTTCTCACCTTAAGTGTACCTGTTCTTTCTCGAGGGAGCCATTCACTCTCATGATTTCAAATATTGTATGTTTATATGTATATTGTGACTCTGAAATATTTAAGTCTGCACTCCTTTCTTGAATTCTCAAGTAATGTATTCATTATGCTTAGTGCAACTGTCTGAATGCTCCATGGGCATTTCAATATTAAAATGGCAAGGACTGAATTTACTTTCTTCTCTTTCTGGAACTTTTTCAAAACTCTCTTTAGACTTACTTGAATAGGAGAAAGACACTATGTGCACAGATACTTGAGTTAGGACACTAGGAACCTGGGAATTTTCTTTGATGGTTCACATGCAGTTCTCTCTAACATATTGATTTTATTTCCTTAAACATTTATTTTTATCTATTTGCTCTTCATTCTCTTTGCTGATGCTCTTATTCATGATTTTTTTGATGAGCCCTGTTTCAGGCCTTCGCCTTCTTCCATTCACCTTTTATGCTGACATCAGTGTCAGTTCTTCACATGCATATTTGATTGTTACTTTTTTGCTGAAAACCCTTTAATATCACTCCAATTGCCTCTATAATAGAGCCTATAGTGCTTCTGCAGTTAAGTCTCCTGTGCTCTGTCTTGATACCTGCTAGCCTCTTCTCTGTCCCTCTTGTCTTTCTTGTTATGTGCCTATACAAGACTATTTGCTGTACTCTGAATTGGAAGCCCAGTTTCTTGCTTCTTTTTTGTCCTAATTTTTCCCCCTTGCCCCCTTTATCCAGTACCTCCTTTCCCTCCAGTAATCCCCCACCCTTAAGTTCATGTCCATGGGTTGTGCATACAAGTTCTTTGGCTTCTCCATTTCCTATACTATTCTAAACATCTCCTTGTCTATTTTGTACCTATCAGTAATGCTTCTTAGTGCCTGTACCTTTTCTCCAATTCTCTCCCTTCTCCTTCTCCGCTGTAACCCTCCATATGATCTCCACATTTATGATTTGGTTCTTGTTCTAGTTGTTTGCTTAGATTGTTTTTTAAAATATTTCATTTATTTATTTTTAGAGAGAGGGGAAGGGAAGAAGAAAGAGTGGGAGAGAAACATCAATGTGTGGTTGCCTCTCATGTGTCCCCTACTGGGGACCTGGCCTGCAACCCAGGCATGTGCCCTGACTGGGAATCAAACTGGCGACCCTTTGCTTCACAGGACCATGCTCAATCCACTGAGCTACACCAGCCAGGGCACTTAGATTGTTTTTTAGATTCAGTTGTTGATAGTTGTGAATTTGTTGTCATTTTGCTGTTCATATTTTTTATCATCTTTTTTCTTAGATAAGTCCCTTTAACATTTCATATAATAAGTGCTTAATGATGATGAATTCCTTCAACTTTACCATGTGTGTGAAGCATTTCATCTACCCTTCTATTCTAAATGATAGCTTTGCTGAATACAGTAATCATGGATATAGTTCCTTGCTTTTCATGATTTTGAATACTTCTTTTCATTTGCTTTTTTCCTGTAAGATTTCCTTTGAAAAATCAGCTGATAGTCTGATGGAAATTCCTCTGTGGGTAACTCTTCTTTTCTCTTGCTGCTTTTAAGATTCTCACCTTATCTTTAATCTTTGGCAATTTAATTATGATGTGTCTTGGTGTGCTCTTCTTTGGGTCCAGCTTCTTCGGGTGAGCTTCCTGAACTTGTATGTCTGTTTCCTTTGCCAGATTGGGGAAGTTATCTTTCATTATTTTTTCAGATAAGTTTTCAATTTCTTGCTCTTCCTCTTCTCCTGGAATCCCTATGATTCAGATTTTGGCACTTTTGGAGATGACCTAGAGTCTTCTTATTCTCTCCATGTTTTTTTGAATTCTTGCTTCTTCATTCTGTACTGGTTGACTGTTTATTTCTTCCTTATGTTCCAAATAGTTGACTTGAACCCCAGCTTTCTTCCCTTCACTGTTGGTTCCTTGTGGATTTTTCTTTATTTCACTTAGTGTAGCCTTCATTTCTTTCCTTATGCATTTGCCATGCTCAATGAGTTCTCTGAGCATCCTTATCACCCGTGCTTTGAACTCTGAATCTGATTGGTTGGCTATCTCCATTTCACTTAGTTCTTTTTCTGGAATTTTGATTGCTTTTTCATTTGGCGCATTTCTTTGTCTCTTCAATTTGACAGCCTTCTTGTGTTTGTTTCTGTGAATTAGGTAGAGTTGTTTTGACTCCCTGTCTTGGCACACCTGTTACATTGTAAGGAGTGGAGCCTTAGACATTCATCAGGACTGGGAAACTCGATTTATTGCTTTGTGGCTCTGTATGTAGGGGAGGATTTGGAGAGGGAACAATGCTGATTGCTTAGCACTTGCCCCATTTTCAGTGACTTCACCCACTTACTGTATGCACCCCTCTAGTTGTTGCTCTGTGTTGTGTTGCACCAGAGTAGGTGTGTTTGCATATGTTCTCGGACTTGAGAGACGGGCAGTTTCTTCTGTCACCCCAGCTGCCTCTGTTTTTTCACAGCCAAAAGTTAGGAGGCTGTGTTTCCCCATGCTTGAATCTTGGGCTGCACAGTCTGGCCGGGGGTTGGGATCACGTGCTCCTCAGGTGTCCCTCTCAGTTTCTCTCTGACACATGTGAATGTAGGATAGCCTGTTCCATCAGTCCCCACTCTCATTACCGAGCCACCACCACAACTCATTCTCTGCCTTCGCCACCCCATCTCTGCTTCTGTTACCTGTCTGGATGAATTTTTTTTTTTTGAAATTCTTGGTTGTAAGACTTTCATGCAGTTAGATTTTTGGGCAGTTCTGGTCCTTTTTTGTTTTGAGGTTAGTTGTGATCCTTCTTATGGCCGTGTAAGGAGACAAAGCATGTCTACGTATGCCTCTATCTTGGCAGTCCAGTTTCTTGCTTCTTACTGTTTTTTGACACTGGTAAATAGTTCAAGATCTCATATGAAACAGGTAGTCTGTAGATCATGAATGTATGGATGAGTGAGTGAACAGATGATAAATATATTAGAAGGCTTACATATTTTAGAGGTTCTCATTTTATTTGCTAACATGGTTATAAATATAGCCTTTTGTAGCATTGACTTTTAATTGGTAACATTAAATACCAATCTTTTTTATTGATTGTCTCCCTCCCTTAACTTACTTTTGAGGTGTTTTATGATGAGAGATGATACCTCTGACAATCTTACCATGTTTTTTTGAGAATGAACACACTATGCATATTACACTTTTATGGTTTGGTTAAATTTTATAATGAATGCTTTTCTCCAGAGAGTTAGGCATCAAAGGATGTTAGAAAACAGTAAGGAAAAAATTTAAATTTACACCAGTGTCTGCATTATAGACTGCAGACTTGTTTAATGTTTAGAAGATAACCATGATGGGGACTATAAAATATAATGGCATTAAAATAAATGTAATTTTTTGCTTCTTTCTTAAGGGAACAAGCAGAAAACTTTCTATTACTCAGGGCAAGAATTACAATATATTTATTTTATCCACTCTCTGTGCCTTTTGGGAAGATTATTGATCTATACACAAGGAAGAAAGCTATTTCCCATAAAGCTGAAGAATAGAAAAGGTATGTACAATCAGGATAAATGAGTATGTCCTGATATGGTAAAATTTGTGTACTGTGGATTATTAGAACTTGGAGATACTGCATTGTCTCCTCTCTGGTACTTAGCAACTTACCTTTTAGTCTGTTGATAGCTTGTACACCTTGTAGTGTTGTATTTTGTTCTTTTCCAGTGTGTGCTTTTCCCTTCATGTGTAACTTGTTTTGCTATTTATCCAGTCTTTCATGCTTACCCTATTTCTCTCTGCCTTTCAAAATCCTAGACATAATGAATGTGCCATCCAGATCTGGATTTAGAACAAGATCTTCTTTAAGTTCTGGTTCATTATAAACTAGTTCAATCTTTTGCGCTAATTACTTAGCTCTAGTTTTGTTTTCTTTATCTGTAAAAATGAATAATGATATCAGTGATGCTGGGCTCACAAAATTTTTGTGATACACAAACATTAGTTTGAGAATACTGTTTTATAAACTGCAAAGCCCTGTACCATTTAATATTTCTCTGTGTTATTGTTACCCTAAGACTCTTTTTAAGTTTTCCCCATCAAACTTCAGTACATGTTATTAGTTATCTTCTTTAACTCTCTTAAAACTTTAAATCTGTAGGAGAAATACAGTATAAAGGTCAGCATTTTCTGTAATGTGCCAGAGAGTAAATGTTTCGGGTTTTGTGGGCCACATGTCTCTGTTGTATTCTCTGTTCTCTCTGTGTGTGTGTATACATGTACTCAGGTGTGCAAAAAAGAGTTACCATAGCAAGCCCGAGATTACTATCCTTAGAAAGACTTGCAAGTTTGGATGTTGGCTGGAGACTAGGAACTTGAATATCTCACTCTTCCTGGAAGTGGTACACCATTTGTGTATACAGTGTGGTTTATAATGAATATCCATTTTCCTTATGGGAGTCTGAAGTCCTGGTATGTGCTAGGCAGAAAGTGCTTTTGTGGTCAGCCCCCGATATAAACCTTGGGTACTGAGTCTCTAATAAGCTTCCCTGGCAGACAACATTTTATATGTGTTGTCATAACTCATTGCTGGAAGAATTGAGTATATTTTGTGTGACTTTTCTGGGAGAGGACTCTGGGACCCTTGCACCTGGCACCCGGATTGCTCTGGACTTCACCTTATGTATGGTTTCCCTTTTGATTTTGCTTTGTATCCTTTTGTTGTACAAAAAAAAATCATAGTTGGGAGTACAGTCATATTTTGAATCCTGTGAGACCTAGTAGTAAATTTTGGAATTTGGGAATGGTTCTGGGGACATCTGACACATTTTACGTGCTTTTAAAATTAACAATTCTCAGCTTGGGAGACTTACAAAATTAGACCATAATGGCTATAGTTTGCCAATCCTGTTATAGAGTATCTCCATTTTGAACACTTATTTTTACTGTTTCCTCATTGTTTTACGTACCTAAATCCTTTCCCCTGAGTTAGGCTAATTGTGAGCTCCTTGATAAAAGAATCTGTTTTATATACTTCTCTTATATTTCCTATGGTAGTATAATTCTGTGTATAATGCACACTCAGTAAGGAATTGACTTTCAAGAGAAGAGCTGCCATTTAGTTGGATTTTGTTAAACTTTAGAAAAATAGATTGTTATGTACTTATGATGTTATTGTAGGAATTTAACTGAAGTTTGTATGTCTATTATCTGTCATTTATTTAGCACCTTATATTGACTTTTAACATCTGCACTTCAGTCTATCGATATCATAGGTCATCTGTAAGCTCAGTTTTGAGAAATCTATTTGACTGTATTAGCAGAGATACATGTTTACCTTTAAGTTACACAGATGCTTTCACCAGAATCTTCTTAGGTGAGGATTCTATAGCAGAGGTTGGTGAACTAGTCGGCGGGTCAAATCTGGTATCCAGTTTTATATGGCTTATGAGCTAAAAATGGTTTTTATATTCTTAAATTTTTAGAAAGAGGTAAACAAAGGGTATTTTGTAATGTGAAAAATACATAAATACCAATTTTCTTGTACATAAAGTCTTACTGGAAAATAGCCACAGTTGTTCATTTGCATATTATCTATGGCTACTCTAATGCTACAAAATCAGAATTATTTATGATAGAAACTGTTTGGCCACAAAGTCTGGAATAGTACTTGCTGGTTCAGAAAATGTTTTCTGACTTCAGTTCTACCTTGCTATATATAGTTAAGTTAGCTGGACCAGCATATTAAGCTGAATCGTATTGCTGCTGATTGAGTAAAATTAAACAATCCTGATCAGATTCATAGATCTTCCTGTGGTAGATGTACATTAACTGATTGGTCCAACATAAATGGTAAAACTGCACTACATCACAAAAGCAACTGCTGCACGACTTGCCACCTTTTAATTTACTATGTCCGATTGGTTCTTCTGGAGTCTTCTTTCCTGGATTATAGTTTCCTTCTCCCTGATTTTACCACAATCTCTGTGAAAACTCAGATTAGGGGGATGAAAACTTAGTTAAAATTTTTAAAATTTTAAGTGTGTGCTAGAAAATAATTTTTTTCTATTTCTTTTTGAAGATTCATTATCCCTTACAGATCTTCTGGTTCTGTTTACCCAACTTATATATTCCTCACCAAGTTGTCCAAGGATGACATCAGCTGCACATTTAGGTAATTATGTTTCTATTTCAAATGGAAAACATCCAATATATTTAAATATTTTATTGTCTAGATATTTTGAGTGATTGATCTAGTTTAGTTGAGAGGTTTCATAGGATGCAATATTTTTTGTAATAAATTACATTGGTCCTGGAAGTAAACCATGGAATTGAAATTTGCTTATTGATGTTTCTAATCTATCTACTGCCTTTATACTTAAATTTTCCTGGGAAGTTTAATGTTGTTATATGTTAAGATCAAGATGTTCTGAAGAAATGCCATTAAGGGAAGTTTGATTGATAGATACTGATGTATTCTTTTTTTAATGTTTTCTATTCTTTGTATTTTCCTGGATGTTTTTATCACCTTGCTTTTTTCATTTCACAACCAAAACTTTAGTATCTTCTCATTTTACTTAAGAATAAAACCAAAAATAAAACCCACTTTATGTTTTTTAGTAAAATGAATATTAGTGTTTAATATTTTTGAATATTTTAATACTAAAAACTTAAAAATAACATAATTTTTAAAGTATCAATGAATTTTGCAGAGTGAAACACTTTATCTAAGCTCCCTTATACTCCATAGACTCATAGTATCTTAGACTTGTAAGTTATTCTAGAAATACTGGCACAGATTCTGAGAGGAGTTCAAACGAGTCATAGAAAAAAGGTTTGGGCCACATATTAGTGCCATAATAATGCATCTATTGATTGGTAGGTTATATGTATGCAGTTATAACAGCTTATTAGTCCTAACAATAGTTCTCAGACTTCTTTTTGCTTTTAAAGCATTTAGGTGTATAAATTACTAGGTTAGGTTCCCCTGGTCGATGCTCCTAGAGCATACTGTGCTTCCTTCATGATAAAATTTTCCCTTCTTTGTTATAATAGTTGTTAATGTCTTGGTTTACCATCTAGTGGGATGTTTTTTGTCTTTCTCATTTCTGTGGACAGTGTTTAGCACAGTGTTGGCACATAACAGGCACTCCAAAATAGTAGATAATTGGATAGATGAATGAATGGTCATATGCTCATCAGTATCTCTTATTGCAAACAGGGTGTCTTATTTGGAGTTGGTTGAAAAAGTTACTTAACTTTCCTTTTCCACTTTCTGTCAGGTATTGACTTGAAGTCTTAGTGTGTTCATGGAGTTTTAAATGTGATAAATTTAGAATATTGGTGTTATTTTAGTATTGTATCTTTTGGCGGTAACTTTACACTGCTTTTAGTTTCTTAGTTTTTTTCATGTAAAACACTGTTTTCTTAGTACATTAGATCAAATAATCTAAAAATGCATTAATTTATGAAGCTAAAATATTTTTATTTTAATGGACATTCCTTATGTTACAGTTATGTGTGTTTGTGTTTTCCTTTATTTATTTTAAAGGAAAATTGAAAAAATTCTCATTCATTTCATTGGTTTCTTGGTAGTATAGAAATATACTAAATCTAAAAGAAAGTTTCTTCCCTCCTCTGCCTTCTTTTTGGCTATTATTTTGTCTTAATGACTAGTTTTCTACCAGAATCAACACCTGAATAAATTTAATATTAAATAATAATAATAAAGAAAGTCTTTGCCAGGAAGAGATAAGCTGTAAATTTGCTTCTAACCCCATCCTCACTGTCAAGCAACAATTTATTGTCAAACAGTGAACTTATATGATTGTCTTTTGGCAATATAAATTCAACAATATGAACTTATTGTTGTCTTTTGGCATTCATATTTGTCATTTATTTACTTTTTATTAACTTGAAGATATGTCAGGCTAATATCTCCTCAAGTTTTAGGTTTTAATTTGGTAATACATCATTCTTTGGGTGTCAGGTTGTGTGATTTTTAAACTATGTAACCTTGTGTGGAAATTTTTGGAATAGCAATAGTTAACCCATCAATAAAAGACATGTTAAATACTTAATGTCTAAAGGTTTAAAGAAAAGAATATGTGTTGCATTACAGAGAATTACTCTCCGGCAAGTATGGTGACCGAAGTTCTGCAGATACTCTGCGATCATAAAGAATGTGCGATCGAAGGCTTGTATAACAGCACTGTGGTCGAGGCCCTTCTCCAGCCAATTCATAATTTAATGAAAGGAACTAAGGTTGGTTTTATTTACTAAAGAGAAAAAGTCTCCCATTTGGGACTTAGTGAATATTCAGTGGGACTTTATTTCCAAATTTGACACATTCGAAATATTATTTTATTATACTATCTTTCCATATATGAATGTATTTTATGCTGATGTGAATTTTTATTTGTTATTAAATTATAGTTAATGCAGTCAGTTGATTTATTTGTTATGACAATGTGGGAGAAAATAACATCTTAAAAATATTTTTTTAGTTTGGCTTAGATCTGCCGATTATAAAAACTAAGAAAAGTTATTCTATTAAGAAGCTATTTGTGTTGCAAATAGAGTAAATCTTGTGAACATTTTATTTTAATGGCGATTTTATAGCCTTTGGAAATGTGATTATTTTTCTGAAGAGCCAGCTTTTTTTTATATGAATAACTAGTATTACTTGAGGGGAAAAAGCTTACAAACATTGTGGTCTGAACATTTATATGTCTGTCTACAGTTTGTATAGTATATTTCATCACATTATATAATTTAATCCTCAAAACTGAGGCTCAAGGAAATAAGTTGTTAAAGGTCGGATATTGAGCCTGTGGTGGAGTTGGTACCACTGCTAAGACTGTTAGCTGTAATATATCCCTCCATTTTTGTGACTGAGCTTCTCAGGAATGACTTAAAGCTTGTCAATAAGCTAAATATTTTTGCCTTTCCATGTCCACATTATATAATGTTTTTACTGGTTTCATCTCCCTCCTACCCTTCAATGGACTGGACAACTACCCACCACTCCACATATTCATTATTCATTGCTCATTCAGAAAACAGTAAGCATTTATGTGACTCTGGTACAAAGTATGGAATTCTGGGAGATAAAATGATATTGATAACCTTGGGAAAACAAAATAAACAGAGGAAAACAAACAATACCTAACAGATGTATATATCCGAGTATATATGTATATATACATTTATATATAAATGAATGACATAATATAAATAGGACTGTGAAATATTAACCACACACCAGAGCTGAGAAATGTGTTCTTACATCTTATATCATATTGTTTATGCCTATGCTTTTATATACCTTTAACTTTTTATTTTCTTTTGATATCTTTCCTTTGCTTAATAAATATGTCTTGAGTCTATCTTATAGTTGGGATAGGAAAAACTGTTGATTATACACATATTTAGCTACCTGATCTGATCTTTTTAATGATAAACTTTTAATTAGGGAAGGCTGCCATTAATCTTGGCTTCCTCTCTTTCCAATCACTTTTCCAGTCATTGCATTATGATCCTACCTCCCTCACATCAGTGATGTAGCTTTGATTGCCGTTGCCCATAACTAGCTAAATATGTAGCTAGTGACCGCTTTCAGATTGTTGTTTACCTGATTGTTGACACACTAGACAGCTTCTGAAATTATGTTAACTTGGCTTTCCTAGAATCATTCTGTTTGCACGCCCATCCTTACTTTTTTTATGAAGATGCCAAAAAAAATTAATGCAGAAGAGATAGTCTTTTCTACAAATGATGCTGGAGTAATTGGACATCCATAGGTTAAAAAGAGAAACCTCAACCTAAATATCTTATGGTATATAAAATTAATTAAAAATGGACCATGTTTTTTGCCCTTTCTTACCATTCTTTTTCTCACCTCTGATTGCTTCCCTTCTAGGTCTTGACTGTCTTCCATGATTCAGGACCTGGTTCATTCTCTTTTTTCTCCGTACAATTTTCTCAGTTGATCTTTTCTAGTCCGGTGGATTAGATGTATAGTTAACTACTAAATTTCTGTCTCTTCAGCTCCAGATTTGTCTTTAGCTGCCTGCTAAGCACCATCTCTGGTTATTCTATGAGCTAGTCAAACTCAGCATATTCAAGACAGCATATTTCTGCCTGTTCTCTACTTCTTCAAGTTTGCTCTCATTTTCCTATGTGGGGAGAAGGACTGCTATAAATCTAGACACCTCTCTCAATCTTTTCATTCAATTTGTAATTAAGGCCTCTAGGTTTGTTTTCCTATATATCTCTAAAAATCCATGTATTTCTCTTAATCCTCACTTTGCTGCCTTTGTTTAAACCCTGATAATTCCTTGACTGGAATGTTGAAATAATTTTTTTATAGTTTTCAGTCTTTCACCTTTCTAGGCCATCCTCTATATTGCCATGAAGGTGTTCACAACCCTTTTCTGCTCTTGCTTGCTAGATAAATTTCAGACTTTTTTAACTGGACATTTACAATACTTTCCATTTTCTTGAGTCCTACCCATTTTCTTTCCTATATATCCCAGTTATAACACATCATTTACGTTTTGTAAACAAGGTTATGATATTTCCCTGTGTCACCAGTGTTTCCTTCATCCTGGAAAGTCGTAAACTTGGTTTACATAAAAATTCCTCTCTTCAGAGTATAGGCTGTGTTTTTTCTGAAATGTTTTTCCAATTCTAGCAGTGAACTGATTTTTTCTATACAATAAGTACTCACTTAATTTTGTTGGTAGGTTCTGTGACTTTAAGAGAAATAACATGTAAGAAAAACAATTTTATCCTAAGATAATTGACATAAACAAGAGTTATTTAAGTTCCTACAGCATCTTATCAACATCGTAATGAAACAAGGTTATTCAAGGATCTGCTGTTGTAGCTCCATATTATGTAGTTCCATCATTGTACTTATGCTGGAATTATTGTTGAGAGTAAGGAACGGCCCACCGGCACATAGCAGACACTCAGTATTTAATGTAAGACATTGAGTATCACGCATTAGGCCACTATGATATCATTGGCTCTTTGCTGTGTTACTGAAATATGGAAATGGCTAAAACATATTCTTTGCTTTTAAGGAGCCTACTTTAATAGGTAAGGCAAACTACTAAACAGAAAATATTAAAAATGAGGAGCAGGAGGTTTAAAAACTTTCTGTGTATGAGAGAAGAAAAGTATTCTAGGCAGGGAAGTTGTTTTGAGAAAGGTATGTAATATGAAATAGACTAACATAAGTCTAATATAATTAGGAATTCTCAGGTGAATATACTTGGTGAATTAACTCAGGCAATCTCAGGCGAATTAACCCAGTCAATTATTGAGGTGTATTGGTTACACTGTGTATGTTTGGATTTATTATAGAGAATATGTGCATTGGCATCCATGCAGATACAGGTAAATCAGTCGGTCTCAGAAAGGATAGAAAATTTAGTAGACTTAGGCTCCTGGATAGGTGCCAGCATTAACATGACTCTAGTTTTTAGTATTTGCTTTGTACTAATAGGCTACACACTGGCAAAGATATTTTTAGTACTTCCCTTTAAAATAAAAAATGAGGAAATAAGATTGGTCTTAGCTTATGTTTTCTCATTAGGTGATATCATTGGCAATTGGCCAGCCCATGATTTGGCTGTCCTTAGTCAGACCTATAACTCATGCATGGCCAATCAGTTGTGGGAAAGGATGGTATCCCTTAGAAAAGATGGTAGTGTGTTCATAACATGTATAATAAAATTAGATTGCATATACAGGCGAACCTCATTTTATTATGCTTACATTTATTGCACATGCCAGCCAAAAGCCTGCAACCTGTTTTACTGCTGTGGTCTGTAACTAAACCAGAGCATCTCCAAGGTGTGCCTGTCAGGAACCCAGTGACTAGGAGGCAAAGGGCAAAATGGAAATAGAGGAGCTAGCGCACTGTCCATCAGAATTACGTATAAAATTGTAATAGGAACAGTAATTCTCCCAACTGTCTTAATAAACAATAGCTGAGTTAAAAGTCTGTGTTTGCCCCACAACTATGTTGGTAAGAGAATATTATCTAATGACACTTTTAATTCAGACATGTTATTTCACAGCCAAACAATGGTAACTTTCTTTTTGATGTGGTAGTGTAACTTTGTTAGATTGCATTCTCATCATTGGATTTTAGTTCGAGATGTTAGCGTGTCATAAAGTTGTATGATTTTATCTTTTTAATATATAGGCTGCTCCAAATTGCTCTGAAACAGCTTTAATTAATGTAGCTGATGTTTTGGCAAGAATTGCATCTGCAGAAGAAGGCCTTACCTTACTTCTTTATGGAGAAAATATGCACTCTTCCAAAGAAAAAAGGTACATGTCTGTTTTTAAAAATTTGTGGAATTTTTAACATATTTTATTAATCTGATTCAAAGTTTCCAAAATGTCATACTATATATTAATGGAAATATGGATAACTATTCTAGGTATAGTTAGGTTTCCTGACAAGCCACTAATAACATATGAGATCATCTTCTGAAAGTTAAAGGAGCAACCAGGATTGTGGACTATGCAGGCAGAGCAGGTCTTGATGTGTAATTTCAGAATGAGAATAGGAGGGTTCACTTTAGATGGGATATTTTTGCTCCCTTAGAGTTTTCTCTTAAACTTCCAAACCCACACAGGATTGATTAAAGTCAAATCTCACAAAGGTGCACAGAATAAAAGTTAACTACTTCCTCATCTTTGTACATCATTCAGTTTCATCTCCTGGCTTAATAAATGACAGTGTTTTTGGCTATACTTCTATACTTTTTTGCACTTATAATGACATGTCAAAAATGTATTCATAGTCATAAAATTTTTGTTTCCTCTCTGACATCTGTTGGCCATTTTTATTTCTTCTTCTTTTTCATTGTGAGTTCATATCTCTTTATATCTTGAGCCCATTTTTTCCTGGAACTTGCAGGGAGAGTGCCGAGATAAGCATGTGGTTTAATCAGTCATTTCTAATCTGCTACCCTGCTCATCTGTTTTGCTTAATGGCTGTGATATCTTTGCGGATCTCTTTGAACCCAGTAGGTAACGGTGACGTCACTCCCAGAGTTATCTTCTTTCCTCTGGGATCAGCTTTTCTGTGGTATTTGGTCTTTTCACATTGCTTGTTCTGTCCATATTTAAGGCAAAATAGATGTCAATGAGGACTCCTCCACTTATTCTTTATAAGGTGAAGATTTTTTTTTTTTAATAAGGTGAAGATGCAGTTGCATCTCTCCTTTACAAGATTCTGACTGATAGCTTTGTTTAGACCAGTGCGGCAAGTTGATGGGAAGATTTTTTTTGAAAATAAGTGAATTGCTAGTTTTCTATCATATTAAGGACATTCCAGATGCCAAAATAGAAGTGGCTTTTATCTTGGGTGCTGACTTCTGTCTCTGGAGAAGCCTTCACTCACTGTAAACACTTGTTCAGAGTTCTGCCCTGGGATTAAAGAGTGCCAGGCAGTGGCAGATCACAGACTTGTGCTCACATGGGCCCCTCTGTACTTGCTGATCAAACAAACAAATAAACAAAAAACTTTCTTTTCATTCTTGCCACCGTTCAGGGATTTCCCCCCTTTTTGTATAATTGCACTTTTCTTTTACTGGCTTCCCAGGAGCAGTTGGAAGCAGAAGTATATGGACACATAAAAGAAAATGAACTTAAATCTACTTAAGCCTCTAGATGTAACTTTGACTTTGTAGGAACTATGGAAAACTAGAGGAACACTTCAGATGACGTCGTGGTGATGCAATTGTCCAAATAAAGAATGAGCACAGTAAACGACTTTGTTTCTCCAAAACATCAATGGCATGGAGCAAAAAAGAGGGGTCCTGAATAACCATAATAACCTAAGTCATTCAATGGAACTTCTTTGAATTCTGTTTTGAATAAACTTGTTATAAAAAGACAGTCTTGAGGCAAACAAGAGAATTTTGATATGGTCTAACTACCAGATAATATTAAGAAATTATCATTTTGGGGGGGGTGGGGATATTAGCATGTAAAACAGAAACTTTATCAGTTAGAGATGTGTACTGAGAGATGTGACATGATATCTAGGATTTATCACATGATCTCAGCAGAGTGGGGGTGAGGAGGGGTCAGGCAATAGAAAACATAAGACCGGCAAATATTATTACTATTGAAGATGGATGAGGGGTACATGCTATATATTGTCTTCTGTTTTTGTTTGTTTATTTGCTTTTAAATCCATAAAGTAATTAAAAGTGTGCTACTCTGGGGCCAGACAGCCTGAGTTTCTTGAGTCTTGCTTGGCTCCACCTCTTGCTAGCTATGTGATGTTATTCAGGTTACTTAACTTCTGTAAAGCATTAACTATATTTCCTTATCTGTAAAAATTGAAGAATAATAAACCTATTCCATAGGATTATTGCAATGGTTGAGTTCATACATTTAAAATACTTAGAACAGTCCTTGGCACATTATGAACGTTTACTGTGTTCTTCCTTATCTGCCACTATCGTTGCTATTAAAATGCCCCAGCCTCTGAGATGGGGGATCTCAGTCCTGTTAATGGTTGGGGAATGTGTAACAAGTACCAGGAATGGAGAACTCAGGATTATGTTTTCATGATAGAATTAAGTGAATATAGAATAACATTTAAGTACATAGTTTTGTTGCTTTTTCTATTTTTTAATTTTTTCCCTCTGTTCTATTGAAAATGCTTTCATTATTAGACATCTGCACATGGTTGGGAACCAGAATATTGCTATGTCAGAGAGAAGCTAGAAGAAAACTAAAAGCCAAGCAAACGAGGAATTTGTGGGATTGGCCTGTTTGGTATTGATTTATGAAGTCATGATATATAACCTTGGAATCACTCTTCTGTATAATCTTTAGTTCTACAGGTGCTCACGTAATAGCCCAGTTTTTGAAAAAACTTCTCGATGAAGATATTTCTATTTTTTCTGGATCAGAAATGTTGCCCATGGTGAAAGGAGCTTTTATTTCCACGTGTTGCCAAATATATGGTACATGTGAAGGCTTGCAAGTGTTAATCCCTTATAGTTTACATGAATCTCTAGCAAAGGCATGGAAGAAGGTAAGTATTTGAAAGTAATTTTTCCTCTCTGCAAGTCTTTATTTCAAATATAATCACTGTTGTGGTATCATGCTTCAGTTAGAATATTTTACCGGGGCAAATACGTATTCTTTTTTTGTCAAAGATTTTATTTATTTATTTTTTAGAGAGAGAGGGGAAGGGAGGGGGAAGTAAATATCAATGAGAGAGAGAAACATTGATGCGAGAGAGAAACACAGACTGGCTGACTCTTGTACATGCCGTGTCTGGGGATGAAACCTGCAACCAAGGCATGTGCCCTGACCAGAAATTGAACTGGTGACCTTTTGCTTTGCAGAATGACTCCCAACCAACTAAGCCTCACCAGTCAGGGCCAAATATGATTTCTTTAGCATCATAATACTCTAGAGGACATAGTGCTTTTTAGTTTGGAACAGGATGACTTTAGTGCCTCCTGTTTAGAGGACACAGTTTTAGGGCCTAACTGTACCACAAAGTCTGTCTTCTGGAAGGGGAGGCTTAGATAAATTATCTTTGCAGAGACTGACATTTCTATTTGGAAGTTATTCCTGAGTAACCTTCACAGATGGCTGGATTTTTCTTATGAACACTATAGATCATAATGTAGCAATAGTTAAATGTAGTATGTATATCAGTGAACTTCTTCCCCATTGCTATGCTTTATATATGAAACACTTTACATGATATTTAATTAACAATCAAATTTAACTTTTGAAGGTAATTTAATTTTAATTACCTTAAGGATCAAATATAAAAATGTAGCATATAAAAATGTAGATCAAGAAATAAAATAATGAGATCTATGGATAATTCTATGAGTAAAAAATTTGCAAATTAATCTGTTATATTTTAGACAAGTTTGTTATCAGACAGAATTCCTACTCCAGTAGAGGATTCAGATTCTGTTTCTTCGATAAGCCAGGAATCCCAAAACATGTAAGTGTAATTTATTAAATTCATCCTTTTAATGTATATTTGCTGAAATAACTTTAAAATGAGAGTGTAATAGACTAGTATGGCAAAAACATCTTATAGAAAGGTAACCATAGTATAGGATAAAGAAAATTGTACCTGGGAGAAAGTTTAGAGATCATATAACACTTGTGACTTAAAAAAATCTAGCGATATTTATTCTGATGCTTTATTGTATATTTACATTTTGGGTTAGGAAACTTGACATGTTGTATTATTTCCAGAAAATTTGGAGAATTACCAAATACTAAAATTGGAAACCTAACTAAGGAGTTTAGTAGAAGGAAAGTGTTATCAAATGCCAAAGAACTCCATTTACTATTTTTCAAAACATGTGAGAATGCATTTTAATGAGACTTTGGAGGAGAAATTATTTAAATCAGTATTTATACTCATTTTTAATTTAGAAGTCTCCATGTTTCTTCACAGATACCAATAGGTTAGAAAATCATATTAATGGGGATATATATATGTGTGTGTGTGTGTGTGTGTGTATATATATATATATATATATATATATATATATATATATACATTTAAAATTAAGATGTGGCAACATATATTCCTGGATTCTCTTCTTAATTGAGTGCTGGCATAGTTTAAAAAGATCATAGCTAAAGAAAAGAATGTTGAGAAATACTCTTAAGAGAAATCCAGAACTGACATTTCTTTTTAGGTAGGCATAGCTTAACTAAAAGAAACCAACCAGTCACACAGAAAGTCTTTTGCATTTTTTAACAGTGTTATAGTTCAACAAATAATTATAGCTAATTTTTGGAGAATTAACTTTTTTCTGATATAGTTGTCATAGACTTAAATCAACTGGCATTTTATTTATTTTTTTGATGAGGGCATGAGAAAAACATTTCTGCAGTTCGTTTTTGTAAATTTTAGTTTTTTTGGAACCCTGTGATTTTTCAGTTTTATGCATGATTCATTTTGTACTCATTTATTCAGTTATTTATTGGACCAAGTTTTTTTTGAGTACCTAGGTATTCTCAGAATACCTATATACTTCAGAGAGCATATTGTCTAATGAAGACTACCAATAAATAAATAGAAGGTAGCAATATAGTATGTTAAATTTATATGGTAGGGGTCATGCAAGGTCCATCGGGAGTGGACTTATAGGGGAAATCTTCCCAGAAGTTGTCAATAAAGTAAGTAAAAAAGAATAATGGGTATTAACTGTCTAAAGGGAGAACATTGTTCTTTGTGTAATAAATGGTGTGTTCAACGAGCTAGAATAAGAGAGAACATGATTAATGTACTTAACTCATTTTAATGTCACTAATATTTTTATATTTTTGATGTCAGCGTCTGAGGGTATGAATAAGTTACACACTGCCCCTTATGTCCTGACTTGTGAACCAATTAATAGACCAGAAGTCAAGCAGATCAAAACACCGAATAACATACACTTCCTAAAAATTGGATCTCAAGACGGATTTGCCCTTCTGTCACAGTCAGTAGTGGACAGGCTTGGGGTTCCCTGGGAGGCCACGCTTGCAAAGACCCAACTTAACTACATAGTAGAACAGAGCAGAATGTGTGCTTCCTACAGGTAACTGGGTCACAAAGAGGAGGTGGACAGGGAGAGAGGCACTGAGCCGAGCATGCTTAGGTCAGCCTCCAGCTCTCGAACCCCTTCCTCCATCGGGAGGTGGGGGGGGCGAGTGATTAATGGAGAAAGGCAAGCAGAGCTAAGCAGGGGACTGTGCTCCATGTGGAAGCTTGATGCCAGAGCTCAAGCTTGATGCGAGGCTCTCCCAATATCTGATATCAGTGTCTTCAAACCAAAAGATGTAATAGAGTTTTTAATAATAGACAAAATGTTGATTATTTTTGCCATCAAAATGAAATTACCTCTTAGAAAGATTCGAGTGTCTTTTGCTTTTTTGTTTCCTGTATTGTTAGTATGAGAGGGGCATTGTGTCTTCGTTCGTAGGTTGGTAGAGCCGTCTGGGCCAGTTAATTAGGCTAGTCTGATGTCAACACACAGCACCAGTCCTCCTCCCCAGCCTCATCTGCTCTGTTAAACGGTGGTTTTTCTAGGTGTAAAAGTTTTTATAGATAATTATTTCTCATTGGTGTTTAATGCTATTACTCCATTGTCTTCTAGAATAAGTAGCTAGTGATAAATGTGTCAGTATTATTGCCATGTAATTACTCTATTATCTTCTGGAATAAGTAGTAATTGATAAATTTGTTTGTGCAATTGCTTTTCTGTTATACATCATATCTTTTCTCTCTTATGACTTACAATTTCTTCTTTGGATGTTTGCAGTTTTTTCGTTAAGTTAATCCTCCTTAGTACTTCGAATGCTCTATTGATCTAAAGACTGGTGTCTTTCCTCAAGTGTAGAAAATTCTCATTTACTTTTCAAATACTCTTTCTATCTTCTTCTCTTAGAGCTTTTATTTGATGTGTATTGAGACCTTTTCAGTCCATGTTCTGTGTCTCTTCTTTTTTCTAAAACATTTCTTATCTACCTACAGTTCAGTTCAGTAATTCATTCCTTGACCATGGCCTAGAGTTTATCCTATCTGCTTTTTACATGGCCATGTTTTTTTTGTTTATCCTGAAGATTTTTAATGTTTTTTTAAGAAATCTAACTTTATATTTCACTTCTGCATATATAAAACATATATTTATAGTTTATGTATATAGTTATATATGTTTAAATATGCAAATTAATTACACATTAATTTTAATTTCAATTAAATATATATTGTTTTATTAGTCTTTCTAGTCTTGAGCCTTTTACTGATCTTGTGCCTCATATATAACTTGTTTAGTGCTTTATGTTCTATTGGAACCACATGTGGCTTCCATTGCCTGCATTTGCCTCAAAACTAACTTCACTTCTTTATGCTTCTGTTCTCTTTGTCCATGGTGATAATTATTTCGTACTGAACATGGTTGTGATTTGACCATTGCTGTGTTATTATCACAGAAGGATATACATCAAAACATGTACTAATTTTTTTTATCAGAAATGGATTTCAGATCTTTCTGAAAATCAGTTCCAATAGACTCTGAAACTTCCTAGGAGGAGAATGGAAAGGCACACTTTTTACATACTTAGTTTTACTGTACATATAGACATTGGATTTGGACCTATTTTAATATATATAATTTCTCTGTAGACAACTAGAAATATCTAGTAGAGAGTATGTTTTCTCTTACTTCTGGTACTTTAGCATGAAATTCTCATATCCCCTTCCGTATTTCCAAATTTCTAGCTTTGACTCTCCTGTTCACTGTGTGTCTTATGACTGTCTCAGTTTTTTTTTTTTTTGAGAATGTTACTAGCCTTCCTTTTAGAAGTGTTCTGAGAAAAAAAGTCATTCCCAAAAGTGTAATTAAAAACCTGTGAAGATAAAGGTAATACGCCTGATAAGCTTTGGAAAGTCAAAAGACAGATACTGTATAACTGTATAATAAAAAGAAAATAAGTTGCAAAATAATGGAGAGCTTGGGCTAGGGAACCCAGAACAACAGAACTATGGTAGGAAGATAGGATGAATTTAATGTGCATAAGAGAACCTACATATAATAAAAACGCTGACATGCAGTGAACATTTGATTTAGTCAGTGAAGGAAAATTATTGGGATTGAAGATGTAAGAATAAAAGAATTCGGTATTAAGGAAACTGCTTTCTATCATATTTTAAACATTTATTGAGTATTTTGTTACCATTGCATACTCTATAAATATAATTACCAACAGTATTAAGCTAATACATTTTCTTTTTCAGTTTGAGTATAATAAATAAATTTATATCTTCTCTTTATCTGTCTCAGTATGGCTTGGGAAGAGAATTTATTAGATGGTTTACTCAATTTTGCTGCCACTCCTAAAGGACTACTACTTCTTCAAAGAACAGATGCCATCAATGAATGTGTGACATTTATGTTCAACCGGCATGCAAAAAAATTACAGGTATGAATTGCCATCTGCCACAGGCAGAAGGATTTTTTTTTTTTGTTTAAAAGCCATTAAGAACACCATCCTGTCTTCTGTGCGTGAAGGGGTTATCAAACCTGAGTTAAATAGAAAGCTGTACGGCGTTGTAAGGTTTAACTTGATATTTTTTAAGGAAAGCGTTAGCGAGTTGATGTGGAATCCATGGCTAAGTCTACCAGATGACGAACATCCAGATGCAATTAAAAAATTCAGTTAATTATCCAGGTGCTTTATAAATGTGATATCAAACATCTAAATATACTAAAGCTGGCTGGAACTCACTAGAAAAACCATTTGGGGTTAAATGTAGTTGTCGGTGAGAGTGTCGGGCTCACATTTTGAAAGAAACAAATATTAGTAGAGGGATTTTATTATTGGTATCGTTAAAATTTACAGTAGAATGTAGCATTTTCTCAGATAGTGGTCATAGAGGCATATTCAGCTTTTTGCTGTCAAAGTGAATATCCAAGACTTCTGAGGTTTTTAGGGTCACAGGTATGCTTTTCTCTGTTTCTGGAAGCTGTTTTTTTGTTATTAGGTTGCCTGATTATAAGTATCATTGTATTTGTTCTTTTTTAGTCACCAATTCCAATTTCCTTTTAGTCACCAATTCCAATTCACTTTTGTTTAAGCCTCTAAAAAACAAAACAAATAATTAACTTTTTAGGGTTGTTTTTTGCCTCTGAAGAATAAGTAGTTCCTGAGGGAGGGTCCTGATAATCTCCTTATAAATAAAACATATGGACATTTGTTCATGGGTTTATAATATTAGCTTTGTTACATGCAGGTAAGTTTTAATTTGTCCAAGTGGACGTGAAATATAGAGAATTTTAGTTATTTACATGTCGCATTTCATGGCATGACATATGCATCTGTCCATGCAAGATTTCTCTCTTGATTAGTTATATTCTGCTGTCATTTCTAATTGACAGTTCCATTTCATTGTGCCTGCATTCTCCTACCCCAGGCTTCCATTCCAATTAGTATGTGTAATATGTATACTTGTGCAATATTGTCTTAGTCCATTTGGGCTGCTGTTACAAAATACCGCAGACTGGGTGGCTTATAAATAGCAGAAGTTCATTGCTCACAGTTCCAGAGGCTAAAAGTCCAGTGTCTGCATGGCAGCATGGCCAGGTGAAGGCCCTCTTCTGGTTCACAGACTTACTGCATCTTCATGTGGCAGGAGCTAGGGAACTCCCTGCCATCTTCTCCCTAAGAGCACTGACCCTATTCATGAGGACAGGCCACCTTCAAAACCTAATCACCTCATAAACGCCCCACTTACTACCATTACTTTGGGGGTTAGGATTTTAACATGAATTTTGAGGTGACATTCAAACTATATCAGACATAGAAGTTTTTTTGGCCTTTTAAAGTTTACATAAATGAAATTGTGTTTCTTTTTTTTTTTTGAGAAGAAACATATTTTTATTCAATCAAAAAAATTCCATTAAAACAAAACTGTTGTTTTTAAGAGATACTTATGCATTCTTAGTGTAAAATAATTTATTAAAGCAGGTAGTGGAGAATGTCTTTTTTTAAAAAACTATTTTATTGTTGTTCAAGTACAGTTGTCCGCATTTACCCCCCACCACTCCCCCGCACCCCAGCCATCCCCACCTCCTTCCCCTGCTTCCACCCCCCTTGGTTTTGTCTGTGTGTCCTTTATAGTTGTTTCTGAAACCCCCACCTTCTTCCCCCATTAAGAATAATCTGACAGTAACCAGAGAGGAGGTGGGAGGAAATTGTGTTGTTTCAATTTGAATTTCTCTGTTGGTGAGTTAGAATCTGTGTACTAGTTAACCATTTGAGTTTTCATTTTGTTTGTATATTTTTTTAAATATTTGAGCAATTCCAAGGTGTTTTCTTTATCATTCAGATACATGAAACCATGAAGACAGCTTTTACTCTTGTGATAATGCACCTGTGACTAGGTGTCATTTTTTACACTTATAAATTTTAGGACTATCTTTTTTAAAAATATTTTTTAATTTAATTATTGTTCAAGTACAGTTTTCTGTCTTTTACTCCCATCCCAGCCCAAACCCCCCAGTGCTCCCCACCTCCCTCCCATTTCCACCTCCCTTAGTTGTTGTCCATGTGTCCTTTATACTAGTTCCTGTAAATCCTTCCCCTTTCCCCCCTGAAATTCCCTCCCCTCTCCCCTCTGGTCACTGTCCCCCTGTTCTCTATTTCAGTGTGTTTGTTTTTATTTTGCTTGCTTGTTTGTTTTGTTGTTTAGCTTCCTGTTAAAGGTGAGATCATATGGTATTTGTCTTTTACCGCCCGGCTTATTTCACTCAGCATAATGCTTTCCAGTTCCGTCCATGCTGTTGCAAAGGGTAGGAGCTCCTTCTTTCTTTCTGCTGCATAGAATTCCATTGTGTATATGTACCATAATTTTTTGATCCATTCATTTACTGCTGGGCACCTAGGTTGCTTCCAGCTCTTGGCTATTGTAAATTGTGCTGCTATGAACATTGGGGTGCATAGGTTCTTTTGGATTCGTGTTTTAGGGTTCTTAGGATATAATCCTAGCAGTGGAATAGCTAGGTCAAAAGGCTGGTCCATTTCTTGTCTTCCTTCATACCACCCTGGTGGGTAAAATAGAAATAGAAGATATTGTTTCCTAGACCTCAGAAACTTATAATCTTGTAAGTTATTATAATACTTTAGTGGTACTTTATGCTATTCACAACATTTTGTTAAAATTCAGATATTTGCTTACCATGTAAGAAAGCAGTTAGGCCATATGCTTAATTTTGCTGAAGAGAAAGTAGAGACCCAGGTTGGTTAAATGATGTGCTTATGCTCTAGTAACTGACGGAGTAAGATTAGCACTTAGATTTGCATTTTATGGTGTCCCCCAGATCTGAATCTTGTTCAGCAAAGCATCTCTGACTCCTCTGTATTTTCTTTTTCTGCCCTTACCTCTCCAGTACTTATTGTGAATCTGGGAAGTTCCAAGGCCACTTATGTCTGAATCAGCAGGGTCAATGAGGGGAGTTGAGTAAGATGTTTTTGCAGTTATTCTGGAGGAAAGCAAGTGTGAGAGAATACTCATTTATCTTGTTTACCTCTTTGTTATCTAATTGAAGAACTAATGGATGGTAAATTAAGGAAAATAGAAATTATGAGTAATAAAATGAAAGAAGGAGGGCAAATGAAAAAAACTTAGCAGAAATGAACACATTAACCTATTTCTTTCCTATGGCCCTTCAATTTCTCTCTCTTTTTTTCTTTGTCCTTAAAACTGACTGTACAGTTTACATTTTAAATTTTTGATTAAAACAGATTCTATCAATGATATGTTGAAAAAATATAAGTTAGAAATGGTAGCCAATCTGATTTTAGCCAAAGTCTGAGAAGGACTTTGTTATTTCCTTATTCTGATTTCTGCTAAGAGAGATACTCAATTCTGTACTTTTTACCATGAATATATGTGTAATCTCTTTGTGAAATATCAAATTATTTGAGGTATTCTATTCTTAAGATGAAGAATTCATCTTCATAAACATTCTTAAGATGTTTAATTACTCTTAAGTAATCAAACAGCTTTAAAAAACCGGCAGCCAATACACATTCATTAATGAAGAAATTTATAATTGAAGAGCCAACCTGAAGAAGTAAACAGTAAGATAATAGAATTTAGAGTTGGAAGGAATCTACTTGACATCTGGTCAAAGTCCCTTATTTTGTGTATGAAGAGACTTAGGCTCAAAGAGAAAAGTGATTTGTTCAGGGTTGAAAAGTTACTTAGTTCCCATGCTGGGACCAGAACCTAGGTCTGAAATAAAATTGTCAAAAATAGTACATTAGTGTTAACTCATTAATTGTTATAGTTTCTGACTTTGTTTTTGCCTTTCTTGTTATCTTTCCTTGAAATGATGTCCAGTGTTCTAATTTTAAAAGTCAGTAACTCTCCATGTAAATGTAAGTAAAACATTAGCATGCTGTGTTTCACTGTCTCACTGTTGTTCCTTATTCATGTTTTTAGATTAGCAGGCATAAAAAGTTCGACTGTGGGGTTTTGGTTACACAAGTAGCCTCAACAGCAGCAGGTGCGATAGCTCTGCAAAGGTCAGGTAAGTTTTTCCTTTCACTGAAAATTATACTTATTTAAATGAAATGAGCAATCCAATGAAAAATTTAATTGGCATGGTCAAGTATCAGGATATTACTCTAAATAACTTGGGAGTTATTTTTCCCAAGTTACACCTTAGGTAAGAGTAGGTTACGGGGCTTCCTATTTATCTCTTGTTGTCTGTGAAATCCCACTGGGAATCTTCTTTGCCTGTGAATTATATCTAATCAGAATAATGGCACATAATGAACTAAACTGAGAAGTACTTGATGCTTTAAGAAATTGCTCTCATCTTATAAATTGAAAGGGTATCATCCTCTCTCTCTTGGTACAGTTGCATCTAAAATTTCTTAATGCTCATTTTTAATGGCTTGTGTATGCACCAAAATTTACAATCAATAGTTTTTACATGTATCATTTTCTTATTCCCTTTCTTCTCTTCCTTTCTTGAAAGCTTCCCTCTCGCCACTTAACTTTTTACCATTGTCTTTGCAGTTTGCAGTCAGCATGTGTCATTCACTGTGGATTAGATTTCTAAGTAGTTCAACTGCTGGGAATTTAAGATATCATATCTTAAGATTGTCTGATCCCTGAACTGGAGACAAGATGTAATCTCTAATAGAGATGCTATGATTATAATTTTCCTGTGTTAGAGTGGGTGAATAATAACATAAGTGATCACTATTGAGTCTCCTTTTAAATAAAAGTATTTTCTGGTAGCATGTTTTGAATATTTTTGGCTGAACTGATTTGGGCTACTTGTATTATGGAACTATGTTTTCTGGCAGAAATTGTGCTAAGCTGAACCACTTTTTTTAAAACTTAGAATCCAATCTAGTTTATTCAGTAGTCAGGGCACATGGATGAAAGCATTTGGATTTATCTCAGATTTCCCTGTTGGTCAAGTTATTAAACTTCTGAACCTCATAATACCAAACTTTTCATGAGAAAGTTAGATGCAATTTTTCATAGGGCAGAGGAAGAAAGATTAACACCCTTTGAGTTCTTAGATATGATAGACACCGTGTGGTGTCTTAGGTATGATGTTAGGAACTCTGCAGATAAGATCCTATTTATACATCATAGCAACCCTGGAATTGTGGAAGCACAATTTTAGTTTTCAAGTGGGGGAATTGCTGCTCTGAGAAGTGTAAGGAGTTTTCTAAAGACATGCACCAATGAACCGTCAGGTTTACAGTTTGAACCCCGATAGTCTCAATTTTAGAGCATTTTCTTCTTTTTGTATCTAGAGGATGCTTTCTCCTCAGATATTTTTATTATAAAATTAATGATTTGATTATTAGATGTTCTGTTTTACATGTTTTCATATGATATGATTCTTCATACAGGCACATAATAATCTCGCTTAATAATCACTTTCATTTAGATATATGAGTCGTTTAGACTCATAAGAATTTAAAGATAGTACGGAGCCAAACGTTACGTGAAATGGAGAACTATTATAATGGAATTACAAAAAACACTTACAATAAGGGAACCTACACTATTCAGATGCCTACCCTGCCCCTTAATACCTCCTTCCACACACACACACACACCCCACTTTCAGTCCGCCTTTCATTGCTGGCTTATTTAGAGAGTAAAGTATAAGCCTTCTTTTTTTTCAAAAAACATGCTCAGAGAAGTTATTGTCTGGAGGATAAAATCTGGGACTCAGAATTCACCTCAAAGGAAAATAATCTTTCAAAATTTTATCAGTACACAGTATTATGATAGTGAGGTATAAAAGTATATTAACAATAGGAAATATAATTTCTACCAAGTTTGGAGGTAATTATGTGTCTTTGGTCAGTCTGGACCAGTTTTGTCTGAGGGATAATTGTATCTTTCCTACATAATCTGAAGAAATAGTATACTATAAATATGATACAAAATAATCTTTTTTAGGGTTTGTTAATGCACTTGTAACTGAATTGTGGGCCAATCTGGAGTGTGGAAGAGATGATGTTAGAGTGACCCATCCCAGAGCTACCCCAGTGGATCCTGTTGACCAAAGCTGTCAAAAGGTAAGGAATGATTTGGTTCATCTAATAATGTACCGGCTTTAAGTGTCTGTGTTAGAAATTAATTTATCCAGACTTTATTCAGTTACAGCCAGCAGACTTTTCTAATGTTTTTATTTCCTCTTTTTTTTCCATTTCCAAATTTTAAAAATTCACAATAAATTTAATGAATGGTAGAAATACTAGGGTTCTCTGGGAGTCATGTTTGGAAGGATGTTATTTTTACATAATATTTTATTATAAATTTTCTTTTTAAATAAAGAGTAATAGTCACCAAGACATGTCATAGAATAAGCAAACATGCAAAAAAACCTGAAAAAAAAAACAAACCAATCAAAATAAAACAAGTGAGGAAGCTTTTGGCCTTTGAGCTCAAATATAATAGAAAAATTTTAGGAGTATTTGAAGAAGGTATAGGCAGAGAGAGGATGCCATCATTCAGAGTAATGTGGCAAAACAAAGAAACTCTTAAGCACCCATACAATGTTCTGTTATAATTCAGTGGCTTTTACATACTTAACATGTTCTCCAAATTTTACTTAAAAGAAATGATGATTCCTGACTTTGACTTTATGGTAGCCTGGAGAATTTTCATTCAAGTGGTATCACAAAATTAAAACACAGACTAGAGGCATGCTTTCTGTAATTGTAAACTAGTTTCCTCCTGGGAAAAACACAAACTCAGGAAAAATAACTTAAAAATAAGTTAAAATCAATTGTTTTTTTGTGAATAACAAAAATAGACAGAAATGGAGGGGAGTCAATACGGATGAAAAGAATGATACTGCTTGACATTCTAGATGTAACAGATATTTGCTCAAGGGCGAGCATTGGTGCTCTACTGAAAATCCCCATAGGTATTAAAGAACATTAAGGGGATATTATGATTGGCTTTATGCCATGAATTCAACCACTAACAAAACTGGCAGACTTCTTAAGAACTGTGCTTACTGTCCTGGATGGCTGGCTTAGTTGTTTGGAGCTTTATCCCATACATCAAAAAGGTTGTGGGTTCCATTTCTGCTCAGAGCATATACCTAGGTTGTGGGTTAAATACCCAGTCGGGGTCCATATAAGAGGCAACTGATCGATGTTTCTTTTTCACATTGATGTTCCCCTCTCTCTTTCTCTCTCTCTCAAATCAAGAAATGTATCTGTGGGTGAGAATTAAAAAAATACACTTACCGCCCTGGCTGTATGGTTAGGTGGATTGAGCGCTGGCCTGGGAACCAAAGGGTTGCTGGTTTGATTCCCAGTCAGGACACATGCCTGGGTTGTGGGCCAGGTCCCCAGTTGGGGTACAAGAGGCAACCACACATTGATGTTTCTCTTCCTCACTTTTTCCCTGCCTTCCCCTCAGTCTAAAAATAAGTAAATAAAATCTTAAAAAATGAATACTTACCAAAATTAACCTAATAGAAAATAGAAAATCTAAATAGCTATGTATTGGTTAAAGAAATTTAATTCATTATAAAAAACCTTGGCACAAAGAAAGGCACAAAGAGCCTTTCTGCTCTCCCCAGAGAGGGAAGCATATGGCATCGTTCTTGGTTCCCACATAACTGAAGTGGAAACTGTCACAGTGTCCGGAGACCTTGATGTCCTGCAAATGAAGCAGGGGGATCTCTTCAAATTCCTCCCAGCAGGAACCCACTTCGGTGGCACTGACACTGACTTCCAAGTCAAGTGGAACGGCACACCTGCTGAAGGAAAAGTGGCGGCATCTGCACCAAAAATCTGAAGAGGACCTGCGAGGAGCTTCTGCCTACAGCTTGTGCAGTTGTTGCCACTGAAAACCCTGCTGCCGTCTGTGTCACCTCCTGCAGGGAGCTGCGCTGAAGCTTGCTGCTGCCACTGCAGTCACCCCCATCACCGGCACTTCACTCCTGGAACCCTCACTACCCAGACCTGGGCAGCCTTCTGGGAGCCGAGACTTCTGGGAGTTACTGATCCCAGGGCTGACCACCGGCCTCTCACAGAGACGTCTTATGTCATCCTGACCACCGTTGCTCTGTGTCACACAGGCTTTCCTCTGCGCTTTGTGGACATTGTCAACCCTGGCAACCACAGGGGTGCTGCTCAGTGGGTCTGATGTGGTGCATGCTGGCCCCTGGAAGTACTACACATGTGTGGCACCATCTCTCATGAACACCTATGGGAGGTCCTGTGTGATCTCTACTTCGACGGAGATCCTGAAGAGATTGAGAAGAAAGAGCAGGCCGCTGCTGAAAAGGCCGTGACTAAGGAAGAATTTCAGGGTGCATAGTCTACCCTGGCTCCCGAGTTCACTGCTGCCCAGCTTGAGGTTGCTTACTGGTCTGCAGGTGCAAGTGCCCTCTGTGCCTATTCTGCAGTTTCCTACTGAAGCCTGGAGCTCTCAGCCTGGCACCGAAGATGAGTCTGCAGCCTGTGCAGGCCACTGAGTGAGTAGCAACAACCACTGAGTGGTCTTAAGCTGTTCTTCCACAAATGCTTAGACTGGGCATCATCACTAGCCATTACAGAGATGCAAACTAAAACCACAATGAGATATCACTTCATACTTGTCAGAATGGCCATCATTAACAAATCAACTTACAACAAGTGCTGGTAAGGTTGTGGAGAAAAAGGAACCCTAGTGCACTTTGGTGGGAATGCAGACTGGTGCAGCTGCTATGGAAAACAGTATGAATTTTCTCAAAAAATTAAAAATGGAATTGCCTTGTGATGCAGCAATCCTACTTCTGGGACTATACACTAAGAATCTTGAATCACCAATTCAGAAGATCCTGTGCACCCCAGTGCTCATAGCAACATTGTTTACAATAGCCAAGTACTAGAAACAGCCTAAGTGCTCATCAGTAAATGAATGGACCAAAAAACTATGGTCCATTAACATAATGGAATACTATGCAGCAGAAAGATAAAAGGAGCATGAATGGAACTAGAGAGCATTATGTCAAGTGAAATAAGCCAGGTGATTAAAGACAAATACCATATGATCTCATCTATAAGAGGAACCTAGTAAAAAAACAAACAAATAAGCAAAATAGAACCAGAGACTTGGAAATAAAGAACAAATTGATAGTGACCAGAGAGGAGGTGAGGTGGGATGATGGGAAAGGAGAGGAAGGGTAGAGCAGAGGAACATGAATAGAGGATTCATTGGCACTGACAATGGGGGGATTGAATGTGGGAGGGTGGGGGACAGGGTAGGGCTGAGCAATGGGGGAAAGGCAGGACGGCTGTAACTGAACAATGCTAAATGAAAATAAAAAGGAAAACATAATGGAAATATGGAAGTAAGGTTGATGGAAAATAAAATTTCTAAAGAATAGAAAAGAAAAAACCCTTCCTACAAAGAAAACCAGATAGTTCTTCACCAGTGCATTCTATGAAACTTTTATAGGAGGAAGAGCACCAATCTCTCACACACACACACACACACACACACACACACACACACACACACTCACTTTCAGAAAACAGAGGTAGTCTACGGCCATCCCACCCTGAAAGCGCCCGATCTCGTCAGAAAACAGAGGTAGAGGACTCAGTTTCTAACTTATGTTATGCCAGCATAACCCCGACATGGAAACCAGACAAATGTTTCCAAAAAATAAACTGACTAATATTTTTGATGAATATAGACTTAAAGTATTTAATGAACTATCAAATTATATCTAACAATATGTAAAAGGACCATTTAATATAATCAAGTGGGGTTTATCCTAAACCTGCAAAGTTGGGTTAACATTCTAAAATGAAACTTTCACCATATTGACAGAATAAAGAGAAAATTTATACAATGATTTCAACAGATATGGAAACAGCATTTGAGAAAACTTAATACCCATTTATAAATCTCATCAGATTTAATCATCATTTGATAAGTGTCTTTGAAAAACATACATCTTCAACATTTAATGGTGAAATAATGAATATAAAATTTGTTTACTCTTAGCACTTTTCAATATTGTATTAGATCTTTGTGCAACGAGGCAAGAAAAAATAGAAAGGATATAGATTGGAAAGATGCATAAAATATATTTGAAAATAGTTTGATTTTCTCATCCAAAACAAACAAAAATTTGCCTTTGAATCACTTTCTGATTACTTCATTAAACACTTTAAAAAATACATGTCTGATATGATAACTGATACTAAGTTATTCTTAGAACTTCCAAACTCTGATTTGTTTTTTTTCCTCCCAGTTTTGTCTATCTTTAAAACCATTTTCCTTCATAACATTCTATTTAATATGTACAATGTAATTCCCATTACTTTCTGAAAACACTATGTCAGTTCCCTCTTTTTCTGAAATGATGAAGATCGAGCTAATTAACATAGTACCTCTACCTACTTGCCTGCTACCTCTGCAGGGCTCTCTCTCACTTCTCCCAGCTTTGCTTTACAGTGTCACCCCCTAATATCCTCCCACTTCATCGTGTAACAGCATCAGGCAGTTAAGGTGCTGTTTTGGGTCATCTCATAGGGTACTTGCCCTGTACTGCACTGTGAGTCCTTGAGGGCAGAGACCATTGTTTCATTCATATTATTACTCTTAGCATCTGGCACAATTGCTGATAATAAGTTGGCATTAAAATATTTTGAATGACTAAATTAGTGAATGGATTATCATTATCAACCTGATGGTTTTGAATTCATAAGAAAAATTTCTTGGCTTTAGGTTTAATTTTATGCTGTAGTCTTAAAATACATAAAACATTTGACCTTCTACTACTTGTCATTACAACACAGAATCCCATTCTTCAAAACATCAGTGAAACAGAATTATGTTTTGTGCTAAGATAAACTTCAGTATAATTAACATCTTTGGTTATGTTTGTGGGGACCAGTGATTGCATTGTAAACATTTTCCTGAGTTCTGGGAGTGCTCAGCACATCACTATTTCGCAGTGTGCCAGTGTCTATCACAAATGCTTCCTGGGAGAGAAACGGATTTCTTTCTGCTAGAAACAAGCTGCTGAAATCTTAAGTTTCTTTCAAGTATTGTTTAAGTTCAAATACAATTACTGAATTGTTTTCACCTAGGGTTCTACATAATTATAGAGTAGTGTTATGATTCTATTTAGAGTACCAGCAGTTATGATTCTACTTTCTGGTCCACATTGTTTTATTTCTTAGGTACAGGAAGCTACATAAATACCAAAGGAATTTTCTTGTATAAATCATATAAAAGCCCTCAATATCATATTGATATGTGTGATTTGTAAAGATCATATATTTTTATGGATAGTGTAAGTTGTCGAAAAGGACATTTAGTAAGTGTTTTTATAATCTGGTTATAATAGATGGGAAAGATGTTTTAAGCATAAATTAATAAGTAGACAGTATCTACTTATTACTGGATTAATATTAAGGACATTCATGAAGTATTTATATATTCAAATTGTAAAGCATTTAAAGCTTATATTTTACGACAAATTAGATTAATATACAACTATTATGACACCTGTTTCAGCCATCTTTTCTAGTCAACACCCTGGTGATTAGTGAATTTTTACAGTGTTTCTCTGTATGGCTATGACTCTGTAGTTTTGCTATAGTTCATTTTATATGTAATTAATGGGTATATTATTCAAACATCCTTTCCTTCACATCTGTTTTTTTCCCTCCTCTATAGTGCATATTTTTAGCATGGTGTTATCTTTAAGTAGGCATTAATTAAATGGCTTCTATGCAATTAAATTTATTTATTTTACTTTATGCTAATGTTATTGCTATCCAAATAAATATTCATTTTAAACCATAAGTATGTTATTTTCTTCTTAGAACTGGTTATAAATTTCCTCTTCATTTTATGGAATATTTGTGGGGAAAAGGAAAGCTTTTAAATATTTTGATGTGAGCTCATTTTTCATCCTGTAGCAGCAACATTTGTTAAAAACCAGTGTGCGTGAATTAATCACTGTTAAGTAACGTTGCTTTTGGTATATTAAGGGAAAGATTATGAAATGAGCTATACCTTCCAGGTTTTCAAACATGGCATATGGAGCAAGGGTGATACTGTTAAATAATATCTGACGATTTTATAGTGATTTTTACTGAGTAATCTTAGCCTGGAAATAAGAAAATACAGATTAGTTTTATGACCAGCTTTCTGATTGTGTGTCTTTGGCCAGGTCTCTTCAGTTTTCTGGTTTTTAAGTTTTCTCATTTATTAAATGAGAGATTGAATGAATTCTTCTTTTTAATTTTCTCAATGTTCCGACTCTAGTGAAAATTCTCAATTTGATTCTTAAATTTTCTGAATCTAGTAAAAAATTTTAAAAACAACAAACAGGAAATTTAATAGTTATAAACAAGTACAATTAACACAAAAAAAACCCTTAACATGTATGTATTGGCAAAATGCAGGGCTTCTACACATGGATAGAGTTAATTGGAAAGGCTTCTAGAACGAAACTGTTGTGAAAGCTTATGAAGAGGGATAATGAGTGTGTGGGAGGAAGGAGGAGGGTGTTTGTAGACAAGAGAAGTTTGTGTGGCCGTCACTTGAAGAAGACCACAGGCATGTTTGATTGAAGCAGTGACTTCATGCTGAGGATTAATGGGAAATGAGGCTTTTGAGCCTGTGAAGAGAAGAAAGGTTCAATTAAAAAAGCACCTTGAAAGTCATGTTAGGGAGTTAGTTTTGATGTTTAGCGATGGGCAACCACTGCATGTTTTTGTACAGGAAATGTGCCTGAGAAAAGTATTCAGGTTGTCTTTAAGACAAAGTGAGACTGGGAGCTTAAAAACTTCATGGATGGATAACTTGAAAAGATTGCACCAGAAAATGAGCTGCTTTTGATAGGAAAAGCCTTAGCTTTTAAAAATTAATTATAATGAAATTAGTTGGATTTCCAGTGAATGTGGTTAAAGGATAAAGATGACTTTGTGACACAAGTAAAGAATATATGAAATTTGTCATCTTGCTCCAAAGTCCCTGCTTCACTGATATTTTCTCATACATCAGATGTAACAAATGCAAAGAATGAAAAAGATGAATCTTTTTTCTCAGAATGAAACTTTTCAAGAGATACATGATATTTTAAAGTATTTTCCAATTCTCAACCAATTACAATAGTTATTATGCATTGTTAACATATATTATTTTTCATGTTGATTAACTATTTTGTACTTATTATATGTATATTTCACATTTATGTGGATTAATTAGGCTTATTTAAAAAATTCATCCTTATAGTCAGACTGCTATAAAACTTTACATTAATGATTCTTCTGTGGGTGTGGTTAAAAAAACGAACTATTTAAGTGACTGTTCCTTCTCCCTCCCCTAGTCTTTTCTAGCATTGGTGAACTTCTTATCCTTTCCTGCTATTTATGAGCTGGTAGGCAATCAAGATCTTCCTAATAAAGCAGAGTATTCTCTTCGTGAAGTTCCCACATGTATTATTGTAAGTAATTTTCTTTTAATTTTTATCTTTTACATATAATATTTTTGGAACTTTGTAGTAAAAATGCAATTTGACAGAAAAAAAAGGAACACTATTTAATGGCACTTAAAGACTGATTTGTTTACACATGTATTATCAAGTTGTGAATTATTTGTGAATGGAACCTTTGCTCCAGGCCTCTGAAGAGTTGCAATGCCTACTGGTATGAGTACAAGATTAATACTCCCCAACAAGGAAAGAGATTTGGCAAATAAAATATGTGTATGAATGAATTTTAGATGACTTATTATGTAACGAGTCACATCAGTGTTGCTCCTTTATTGGGTGGGATAATTAGGAATAAATTGTATTCAAGGAGTGCAATATATTTCTTCTTGTATTTTAATGAACTACATATTAATTGCCCCTTGAGGGCAGTATATACATATTTGTTTCCTTTGAGATTTATTTCACAATCATACTCCCAGGATGGTGACTTGTTTTAGTTACCTAGAGATATTTAGTTCCTCATCTTTGGGTAAGTTTATGAATTGACACACATAAATATGTATATATGCATAAATAAAGAATTATTTGATTAATACTGAGATTCCATTATTAATACTTATTTTTTGTTTGGCTGGCCACTTGGCCAGTGTGTTGGTTTTTTTAACATAGTTTTGCTCTCTTGAATATTTTTAATTCTTGTTAACTCTAAACATTTTAATTTTTTAAAACTTTCTCTACTATGGGAAATTTTTGATATTTTGCCTGAGTAAAATATAAAGATAGGGACTTCTATCACTCCACTTTTATTTTATATTCTCCATTCCTTGAAGTGTTCCAGTTTTAACTTGTGCTTATTTGTATCATGATACTTCTAGTAGTTTTATAATTAGCCATTCATGTACCCCATTGTCACTCTCTCTGGGATTGTGTGGTACTGGTGGTTTTCTTCCAGCTTCTCTGGTCTCTCCCACATGGTCTCCTTTGTGGACTTTTCTTCCCTTCTGTCTGGTGTCCTCCAGGCTGATTCCATCCAGTTCCTTGGCTTCAGTTGTACACTGACAGCTCTCTGACCTGCACCACTCACGTGACTGCCAGATCTAGGCCCAGAAGATGATGGATATCTGGGAAACTTATCTGGATAAGCTTCTTTCTTTCTCTGAAGTCTGGAAGGTATATAACCTTGCTTTTTGGTGAGATTGCAGCTCCTCATTCTTTAGGGCTTATTCTAGCTTCACTCCTTCTGTGAAGTCTTTTCAGCCCTTCCTCTTTGGCCACTGTTCTGGTGGGGTCCTCTTAGTGTACTCTCCTACAGAGCACCACACCCATGAATAAAGCATATGTCACACTGTTTTATACTATTTTTGTATTGTCTCTCTTAATAGACCAGAAGATCCATGAGGAGAGGAACTGTATCTTATTTGTCTTTCGCCCTGAATGCCTAAAAAGTGTGATTTTTTTCTTTTTTTGCTGCTACGAGCATGGTAGGTTCTTACTAACATCACTGTTTAATTATTTGTCATTAGCTAGGCCTAGACTCTTAGTGACTGGGGTCCTTCTTAGGTTTTATTCAAAAGGATTTAACTCGGACTTCCGCCAAGATGGAGGCATAGGTGGAAACACTTTGCATCCTCGCACAACCACACCTAAAAACAGTAAAGTTTTAACAATAATAAACGCAACCAAACCACACAGAAAATTGACAATATGGAGTCCAAAAATAATGAAAAGCTCAGCTAAACCAGCGAGAGGGGCGAAGCCAGCATCAGAGCGGATCGGGCAGGGAAGATCCCCCGACCTGGGAGGTGCACACGCAGCCGAGGACACTGATCCCAGGTGCAGGCGAGCTACGGGCGGACACAGGGAAGAGGCGGTGCTGGCTGTCTGCCATTGAGCATTTGCACGCAGATAAACCAGTGAAGAGGAGAGCATTGAGACCACGTGGCCCAGGGCTCAGGGCTTGCACATTTGCGCTCAGATAAACAGGCAGGGGGCGAGCAATGAGGCGGACTGGGCGAAGGAAGAGGACAGCCATTGCTCCCTCTCTGAACCCGCACCCACATATAGCTTCACAAACCTGCGACCTGGGTGGCCCCGCCCTGGTGAACGCCTAAGGTGCCTCTCCTCATACGTAACAGGCACAAACAGATCAAAACATGGCTCAAGAACAACTCAGAGCCCCAGAGCCAATAAATTTAAGTGATGAGGAAATAGCCAAACTATCAGATGCACAGTTCAAAACACTGGTGATCAGGATGCTCACAGAACTGATTGATTTTAGTCACAAATTAGAGGAACATATGAAGTCTAAACTAATTGAAATGAATGGTATTGCACAGGAAACCAATAGTAATGGAAAGGAAACTGGGACTCAAATCAAGGGAGTAGACCAGAAGGAAGGAAAAAATGACCAAACAAAAATATGAAGAAACAAGAATTCAAAAAAATGAGGACAGGCTTAAGAACCTCCAGGACATCTTCAAATGCTCCAACATCCGAATTATAGGGGTACCAGAAGGGGAAGAGGAACAGTCACGAGTGGAAACCTTATTTGAACAAATAATAAAAGAGAACTTCCCCATTCTGGCAAAGGAAATAGACTTCCAGGAAATCCAGGAAGCTCAGAGAGTCTCAAAGAAGTTGGACCCAAGAAGGAACACACCAAGGCACATCATAATTACATTAGCCAAGATTAAAATGAAGGAGAGAATCGTAGAAGCAGCAAGAGATAGGGGACAGTCACCTACAAAGGAGTTCCCATCAGACTGTCAGCGGATTTCTCAAAAGAGACCTTACAGGCAAGAAGGGAATGGAAAGAAGTATTCCAAGTCATGAAATCCAAAGGCCTACAACCAAGATTACTCTATCCAGCAAAACTTTCATTTAGAATGGAAGGACAGATAAGGTGCTTCTCAGATAAGATCAAATTCAAGGAGTTCATCATCACCAAGTCCTTATTATATGAAATGTTAAAGGGACTTACCTAAGAAAAAGAAGATAAAAAAGATAAACAGTGAAAGAACAGCAAACTCACAGTTACCAACAACCACACCTAAAACAAAAGCAAATTAAGAGGACAGCTAGATCAGTAGTGAACCATAGAAATGAAGAACATGTGGAGGGTTAGCAACAGAGGAGTGGGAGATGGAGAAGGGGGGAGAAGGTACAGAAAATAAGTAGTATAGACAGTAGATAGAAAAAAGATAGGGGGGAGGGTAAGAATAGTAGGGGAAATACAGAATTAAAGAACTTGAGACAGGTGTTCATGAACTAAAGGGAAGGAATAGTGGGGGAGGGGTATGCAGGGTGGAGGGGAACGGAGGGGGGGAATAGAACAAGTGTAATGGCATAATCAATAAAATAAAAAAAATATTTTAAAAAAAGGATTTAACTCAGTAACTTTTTATTTTCTTTGGAAGTCCCATGATGGCAAGGACCCTAGGAAGTAATAGTGAAGTATGGAGTGTGTGAGTGTGTCTGTGTGTGTATGTGTGAATGTGTCTCTCTGTGTGTGCACACATATTTGTGAATGTGTGTGCTTTCTTTATTTTGTGGGTATTTTCAAACTTACTGGGTTGGCCAAAAAGTCCATTTAGTTTTTTTCCTATAAAATAAAAGACACATTTTTTATTGATTTGGATATTTTGAGTATGTCAGCTATCTCCCACGTGGCATAACTTTGATTGTTCTTAATTAATGACTGTATTTGATTGCCATTAACTTCAACTGGTCTACCTGACTCTGGACCATCATCCAGTGAGAAATCAGCAGCATAAAACTTCACAAACCACTTTTGACACGTTCGATCAATCCCAGCATCTTCTCCATACACTGTACAAATCTTTTTGTGCATTTCAGTTGTGGTTTTATCTGTCGGCATAATACACCAAAAATGTTGGGTATTTTCTTTCATCATTAATATTAAAATGCCTATATGCTAAGTCAAATAAGCCAGGAGGTGAAAGACAAATACCATATAATCTCACCTATAAGTGGAACCTAATCAACAAAACAAACAAGCAAGCAAAAATATAGTCAGAGACATTGAAATAAGAACAAACTGATAGTAACCAGAGGGGAGGACAGAGGGGGATAATGGGGGAAAGAAGGGGAAGGGTCACCAAGGAACATGTATAAAGGACACATGGACCAAGCCAAAGAGGGGTAGGGTTGAGGGTGGGAGGTGGGAGAGAATGGTTGGGGGAGAATGGAGACAACTGTCTTGAACAATAATAAAAAAATGACTATATAAAAATTCACCAATTTTGATAAGTTTTAAAAAAAATTCATGCTTGTAGCTGTCACAATTCAAGCTAACAAAACTGTTTCAATTGAAGTTAAAGACAACTAAGAGGCTGCTAGAGCCATCTTATGGAAAAAACCTAACTAATTTTTTGGCCAACACAATATATTAAAAAATGGTATAATGAACTCCCATATACTAACCAGTAAACTTCAGCTTTTATCAATATTCTGACCATGTTCTTCCATATATTTCCCCACCGTTTTCCAGTTTTCTCTCCTTTATGCCTTTCTGCTTTCTTTCTTTCTTTTTCTTCCTTTCTCTTTTTTAAATGGAGATTTATAAAGCACATTTTGAGTATAATGTCAATATATCTGTAAATATTTATCTCTGACTGATAAGGACTTTTTTGGGTTTCATTTTGGTTTGAATTACCATCTCACAAACCTTTATTATATATGAAAGATTATGTAGCTGTAACCCATTAGTATTATTTAATATGTTGTTGATGTAGAAGTTTCCTTTGTTGTCTCAAAGATACCCTTTCCTTACACTTGGCCAGGTCAAAACCCAAACAAAGTCCACACATTGCATTCAGTCATTACGTCTTTCATGTCTCTTTTATTCTAAAACAGTTCTTGGTCTCTTTTGTTTTTTATGTCGTTGATTTATTGGAGGAACTGCATTATTTGTCCTGGGTTGCTGAGTCATTGTTTTATTAGGGGGTGCAAATTGATGATTCTGTCATTCTTGTTCTATTTAACTAGAATTA